TGCAGCCGAACGGCCATAGTTGCACCGAAAGTAACCATTTTTGATTATAGGATAAAATTAGGCTTTTAATTTACTTCTTGCATTTGCATTTTAGTTACACTAATTATATATAATGATTGAGCATGTATTATTAACTGTCGGATCTATTGCCCAACAGCGCCACCACGAGCAACTGAAGGAGCTTTGCCACATTGGCGGCATACCATAACTACACAATGCCTAAAGTAGAAAAACATATTCACAACCAAAATAAATGGTGACGACAAATGTTTCTAAACGTTTACTATCAGAGGACATGAGCGCCTATAAAGTTTTCTTCACCTTCATTAATTCTCAGTTTTTGACGGTTGGTTTTGGAGTAACATAACATCACTTGCACGAACTCGATCAGTCGATTTTCTAAATCCAAACAAGTGACATTCATAACGCAACGAGATTGGTGAAAGTAATCGGACTAACACAAGTTTATACCTTAGCTAAACAGGTTTAACATTTAGCGCTTCCGACTTGATGACGTTAGTTAAGCCTCAATTTGTCATCAGATTCTTTTATGGGCAAATATTGGCTTTACTTAGGCATTGGCAGGTTTACGCTATTCAATGTAAAGTTTACTTAACTCCAGGGGGCATCTTTCCCATTGTATTAAGCTTCCGCGATCTGTGTGAAGAAAGTCTGGTGAGATCATTTAATATTTTATTTATTTTGGAGTATTTGACGTTATACAAACGAATTGCGAAATTGTACGATCTACATTACCATATGCGTGAAATAATATATGACTAATTATCTTGCTATATAGCCTTTTTTGCTGAAATGCTAACCCGGTTGCTATGAGGCGTTTTACATCTTTTTATTGTAGGGATTCAAAATGTTAAGACGGGCTTTGTATCGAAATCACAAAAAATAAGTTCTCTCATTTCAGAAAATGTAAGTATCTTACGGGTCAAGAACAGCTTCGATGACTATCACGACTTTCCGAGAACGGGTCCGCGAGAACCCCATGAATTGCATCACTGCTCATACTCGGATCCTATTAATTTAGACTAGTATACAAATTTGGAAGAGGTGATTAATTTGAATAAAAAAACGAATTGGCTGGAATTTAAATTCTAGATATCGATATTATCACTATGGCTATATGGAGATTCCAGCTTTCAAAAGCCAACTCCAAATTGTTTAATTAAAGTTTATTGCACATCATTGAAAAGCATCTTTGCGAGTTCACAATTTTGGATATTTATAGTCCTACGTATCGATAATTCATTGTTTATTGCAGTAACAGTACATAATATCTTTTACATATAGACACAGACAGATGCTAACAGAAGATGCTAATAGAGAAAACTTTTTATTCTCCGGCAGTATAACCTCAGGAACACTGAACCCATATATTTCACCAGAACTTCACATCGCCATTAGAACATACTTTTATGATTTTGAAGGGCTTTTAGGAGTCGCACAAGCGGAAATCAAAAGACTTATTATTGCTCATGTATAATTTTGTCCTTGAAATGACATATGATTAATGGAACGGTTGTCGCCAAATCAAATGAGATATAATCGTAAAACAAACAGAGTCTGGTGACCCTTTCCTATCATGTCATCAGAATTCTACAAATTGGAGTATTGCTCTGGGCTGGAAGTATTACTTTATACATATTTTTCTGATATTGCCTTTAGGCAGAATAATTTTTTCTTATACAAAAAAAAATACCGAATATTGTTATCGCGACGTTTTTTTTTTTGCTTCTAGGAATAGTATATTTTGTAACGGTGGAAAACGGAATCGGGCTAATCAATTTTTTCTCTCTCTTTTTTCGTTTTCCTTCGAGTAATTACTGCAAAGTTAGAAGCCTTCTCTCATATTCTTAGATTGCAAGCACACTTAACGTTCCAATGTTAAAAATTTGCAGGTCTAGCTTAAAAGACAGCAGAAGGACATTTATTTTTGCAAACTGAGGTGAATACCATTGCAACTTGTTGTGAACAACCGGCATCTTGCTTGTCAACAACTCAACTTTTTGATGGACTCACAAGTAAATTGCCAAATATAAAAATGATTATTTCCTCCGTAAAGCACAAATGTCTGGACACTATTACTCATTTCACTCGAGTTCGCGCTATTGTCCAGTTGACGAGGTATGGATGTGCCAACTTCAGACTAATTTAAATATTTTAGTCGTACTGTGCAACATTTTTCCCGACTTCTGTGGACAATATTGAACTGCTGGGTAAATGACAAATTGCCACAGATAATATAAACATTTATTGTTATGGTTTGTACGCAGTCAATTTTATTGTTAATTGTGCTAATATAAAAGCTGTTCTCTTAAAAAGTATTATTGATAATAACTGCTGTCAAATACAATATTATGTGATTGTAACAATATGACGCTCGTTTCACAATCGTTGTTCAATGTATGGTCATAAATGTGACTGTATTTTATGAGGTTTCAAATTTGATAAAGTACAAAACACTTTGTGAAGTCATTTAAACACAAGGTGGCATTTAATTTAACGATACAAGGGAGCGTCGAACATTCACAGGCTAAGACCAAACATATCATCTTGTTAGCCTGCGATAAAATTCTCTTATTGAAAATGATGGCTTAATGGCTGTCAAGTCTTTAATATCCAACTGAGTAATTGTTGCTTGACTTTTGAAACATGAAACACTGAAACATGAGGAAGTTTTGATTTAGATGTTTGTGGCCCCATTTTTCCGGAACATTCCAATAGTGTATTTTTAGGAATATTTGCCAATGTTTCATTGCTCAAACTCAAAATAATTATCAATTTTTGATGTCAACAAATATGGGATAAATATCTCAATACAATAGCTTACATCACAATATATTGTCTTGGCACTTCTTTGGAATACATCAAAGCCATGCCAATAATTTACATGTGAAAAATCGGTAATTTTATTGACATTTTCAACGTTCAATATTTGCATTCACAGTTACCGTTCATCTTTTCATTGGAAACCAAACTTTATAGCCGGAAGACTTTTCAAACAATTTAATATTCGTTGGTAATGAAATATTTTAATTGGCGCAATAAATTTATACGATTGCTTGCAAACTTGTTATGATATTTAGCTTACTATGACGTATTGAAGAGAAAACGACATAGGCAAAAGTGCTACCGCAAATACCATATCATTATAAAGATATTTCCATTAAAAAAAGAAAGAAATCACAATTCAAATATAAATTTAAAAAAAATACTAAAACTTAGATGCAAAACACATATAATGGCCATGTTATCATCTGCGAATACTCAAAAACAAAAAACGCTATACAGCTTGAAATTCCATCAGCGTTTAAACGCTGATAAAACTTACAGAGTAAACATCGCTGCATCACAATTAGTCTTCACTACTTTCAACGATGATAGTCCATTGGTTAATATTAAATATATTCAATTGAACAAGGACCAAACATAAATTGCACTCAATATAAAACAAGTTATCTTCGGGCCTCACATCTCCGCAAAATGGTCCCAAATTAAATTTTGTGAATGAAAGAGTTCTTTTCTCTTTTCTTTAAGGTAAAGTTGAAGTTAAATATTGACGTTTGTGACTCGATATAAGAGCAAGGGAGTCAAACATCACCGCAAATATATCAATGAACAATAGAGTTATGGTGACGTGTATAAGCTACAAAATGTTCATTGCACATTTTATACATTTACGAATATTTGAACAACTAGATTCTAGATTTCTAGATTGTTTTAAATAACCAATAGACTTCCAAAAAGACCTCTTTGTCATATAAAAGTCAGTGCCATACAATTTTATTTTGGGGTACATACGTCATATTTGAGGACGTCAATGCTTACAATTTGTTGTGGTTGATAAAAATCATTCCACTTCTTGGTGTACAATATTTTGCTCACCTAAAACTTCTGCCAAAACTATATCGATTTAAAGCCATTTCAAATTTGACTTTTTGTCTTAGTGAAGTCGAAATATCTGGGATGGTTGGTGATCCAACTTATAAACAACCCCTTTTACTGAGTTAATGCTCCACCGATACGTCTCCCACAAGTATGCGGGATTTTTCTGATTAAGCTTAAACGTGCTACCTCTAATCTTCTTGAGAATATCGGTGTGAATGATTGATTGGTATAAAACTTTGTAAATAGAAAAGGTTGATTAGTATTTGCACTATACTGCTGTTATTGTTTGAGCGCAATACTGAACAGAATGAAAAACGAAACCTAAATAAATGACATATGCTGTACATTATGTTACAACGTTATAAATAAGTAAAGTTCTTTATGTATATATATATATTATTTTATATACATTTATATTATTTGATTCACAATAATTAGATTCAAAGATCATAATTGAACATTTTTGTGATTGATGGATCTCCTAAAAGTGGGTAACTCAAGTCAGAGAAAAACCGCGAATACCCAGAAGCTACAGAAAAGTAATTCAGGATTATGGTGGCAACGTATAGACGTCAGTATATAAACTAGACTCGATAAAATGAATCAGTCCAGTTCTATCAGTTAAATATTTTCCTCTCTTTCTCTCTCTCTCTATCTTTGTAGACACGTGAAACAGATCATTAAAACTTGACAAACGAAGCGTGGCAAAGTGCAAAGGGACTCTGGTATGTTATCTGTTAAAAATTGGGATTACAGAGATTTCATTGGCCAAACAAGATATGTATGTAGCCTAATATTGTTTAATTAGTGAGTTAATTACAGTAAACACAAAATATATTCGACATCATAAATAAAATTATCGATATTTATATTTAATATTTGTTTTTAAGTTGAGTTGTCCATTGTCAGTTTTATAGCAATGAGAACAATATTTTGGCAATTTACAAGCTTTGGGCCTAAATGAGTCATTGCACATAATGTGGATGCATTTGCCTCAAACTATTTCTTTGTTTTCAACTCTGCCTGTTTTGTACCTTGACCACATTTATCAGTTATGAGACGGTAACTTGAACTCAGACTGACGACTCCAGTCATTGTTTGAAAATAGCTGCCGATGATGGAGACATATTCAGTTTCAAAGCTTGGAAATGTGTTTGAACGAAGACGGATAAGAACGCTTTCAACAGGGAGAAGATTTGAAATGTGGCAAGGCATAACGGACATAAATTGAGGTATGAACCTGTACTTCCACGTTATCATAGATACCGAAGTTAAAATAGAAGACAGCTCTTCCTGGTAAAAGAATTGTTAGCTCGCAGAGATTCGAATAGACTTAAGACGGCATTCGGATTTAATTGTCCCTGACAGTTAGGGCGCTAGTTGAATGTTATGCTCGCCTAGGTAAAATATCGATCTAACCTGGCACCCCATCATCACGCAACCAAATGTGGAGGTTTCGTTTAACCGAAAGCATTTCCCATCCTAATATTTACAAGGTTAGAATCGAGAACTTGATAATTATTAGAAAACTGCCATTCCTAAATGCATATCAATTCTATCAAATTCCAAACGTCCAACGTAACTTAAAACTCATAATGTTATCACACCAGGTGATAGCCTCAGTCTTCCGAAACTCAAAAAAACGCATTGTCGTGTCACAACGTTCGACGAAAAACTCATTTTTATCAATATTCTGAGTGGCTTTTAAGTAATGAATCTCAAATATCTGCCTAAGATATTTTCTTTGGAAAAACATCAAAAAGTAATCGCATCTTATATAATTGATTGCAGCTGACACGATGTCCGACCTCCGTTATCAGTCAGTGATCAACCACAACGTAGACAAATTTACATAGCACGCTAAATAACCATTATCTTTTTTAAAGTCGATCTAAAGAGAGTGGTTAAGCAGAACTGTGGTATGTAGAGCTAGCTCAGTATAACGTTTGTATGTTATGAAATAAATAAACCTAAAAAGGATTAGAAAAAAAAACTCGTACTAAACGTCTTGCGTTTCAACCAATCGCAAATATATTTCAAGTTCTGAAAGGCAGAAAAGCTGAGGTAAACGTTAAAGTGGATGCAAGTCAACATCTTTTGTTACAATAAACGATAAATCTATTGTACTTGTTTCGAGCCAGCTGGGCACTCTTTCTTATATGCTTAACAAAAAACATTTCGAGACATGGTTCGTAAAATTTCATGTGTGTTTGTTAAATAAATAAAGGTCGCACGCACACATTTCGATGTAAAGGAGGATCCTCTTTGAACGAAGTCATGGGCGACTGATGTACCAAGGGTAGAATTATGATACGGTATCAAAGTGACGTCCATTGACTGCTTTGGTATATATATGGGAAAGCTTACACAAATTTCTGATTCAAAATCACGTAGATGTACTCAATATATTTAGGCCGGATTTTTGCAATTCAATTATTTGGTTGTGGTTTTTTGAAGGACGACAAGCGCAGACTCAATTTACCGCCATACAGTCGACCAACTTTATGAGTAACGTATGTTCTACCGCAAACTTTTGTTTGCGTTCTATGATTAAAAGTTTATATGAGCAATTAGGAGAAGTACTTACACCAATCGGAACCAATTAGTGTTGCTCTGGCATTTCGATGCTGGAAACATTGCAAAAATGGCTTCAGTATCATTGGAATAATGCTCTAGTCAAATCTTTAAGAAAAGTGAATAAAATAGTGAGAGTGTTTTTTTTATCATGCTTGTAGAATTCAACTGAATAAAAATAAAAAACAATTATTGCTTTTCCTCATTTACTGATCTCTGTTATAATGATGTTTAGCACATCGAGGGTCGCAATTTTTGTATATATAAACAATTCGAAGACATAACCAAGCAACATGCTGACGAAATTCAATCCACATAATGGATTGGATTTATTTTGCGGCTGTTATAAGCTTGTGTTTTTGAGTCTGAATTGGGTACTTCGCTGGTAATTGTTTGAATTATAACGCTTTTATGTTTGCTATGTTTGTCATGGTGTCATATTTCGCTAACAATCGATACGAAAAAACGAGAAATTGAAGATTTAAAAGGATCAGACAAAGAATATACATAATATAGTAATTGAGCTGTCAGAGTCAAGTTTGCGTTTCTTATATAAAATATGTGATTATATGTTTAACGTAAAACAAAGACCAATATTTGAGCTCAACTTTGTGGTTTTAATCTTAAAATTTTGTTTACGAGGACAAATTTGTAGAAAATCCGTTTTCGTTATAATTGTATTTGAAAATCCCAATTGTTATATTATTTATAAGACAGGTTTAAATAGAAGTGAGTGGTCCTCAATGTAGGTGACATAAGGGTATTCAGTATGTTTTGAATAGCTGTCCGTACTATAACAATAATATTATATTTGAAAACATAATATGGTTGTGATGAAATAAGGTCAATCGAGTTGGCAAGCAACTAAAAATGCAAAGCACACTGAAAAAAGTGTAAAAGCTAACAATCACACGCTATTAATATACCACGAAAATTATCTTTGAGGCAAAAATATTAATGAATATTATAACAAAAAAGTATATCGATTACCCTCTTGTCAAATTACATCCAGCCATTCATGAATAAAAAAATATTTTAAATACAATTGAGACATTTTCATTATAGCAAAATACTGTAGCAATCGAAAGGCAATTTTACTCATCTCCGCAGAGAAAAAGGGCCTTCTTATTGTTGACGATTACCTTATATACTTAATTACTTGATAGGCAAATTAACTTTAGTACAGCGCGATTGCAGTAGGATCTAGCCTGGACGGATCGTTTCGTCAATGGTACATAACCGTCACGAGGATAAAAGGACTCTCATAGAATAATTTATCATTGGTTCAAAGTTAATCCACAACACAAAAAAAAATAAATATCAGGTTTTTCAAATGTTCAATATTTTGTAAATGCCTGGTATAGGTAAAGAATTTAGAAAGTATTGGTTGTCAATTTAGGGTTACAAATTTGGCACGTTTGGTTGCTGCTGTATTTTGGGTAAAACACTCGCTTCTCAATTTTCAATTTCCCACGTACTAAATTTCTAAACATTTTCTGAATTTCAAGAGATCTTTACTTTAGTTTTGCAGCTCTTGCACGCTTGAGTACATATATAGACAAACTAAGGACTGACTTTCGGCGCGAAAAAAATGCTAGTTGTCAGCTAAGGTTATAAATTACAGTCATCAGATTTAACTAGGTTAGACGAACTGAAGGTTCCAGAAGAAACAATTCTTGAAATAATAAAAAATAATATGTTATAAAACTTGCCACAACTTTAATAAACGGATCGGTACTGATAGACAAAGCAGGCAAGACCAAATGTAAACAAAGAAAGTATGCTCAAAGCGCTCAAATAGATAAAAGAAATTTGATGTAGTACAGGCACTGGTGGAAGCGTATACTGCCGGTAGTCCGCTGGGAGTTTGAATATGCACTTTCACCCTTTTGTTCATAACGCTTCAGTTTAGTTTAGCGTTTCTCAAAGTTGTCAGTCATTACAGCAAATCTATAGGAAGCGATTTGAGGGGTGTGTTAATTAAGTGAATGATGGAAACAGAGTATATATTAGCAATGGCGTTAATATTGTGTGGCTATGTCAATAGTAGGTCTTCGATTCTGCCTGACGTTGAATTCTTTCACTCGAGTATATTTTATGCGCTTCATGTTTGGTATAAGATTGATCTGCACTATCACACATCGTCTATATGTGACATACAAAGTATAAAAAGTCAATTAGGGATACGCCTGAATTATCACGGACGAAATACATACATCATAATTCAAGTACGATATTACACTCGCCTGTATTCTTACTGGCTCCGGTATGTTTGATATGTTTCAAATTTTGTCAAATTCTTCATTTAATGGCAGCTTTGGGTGAATATTTCGTGAATGGTACAATTTTTACGTTCCAGGAGAAAGGGCGGGATAGTTCATTGGCAATATATTAGAGATAGGACAAATGGAGAGTGATTTAGTAATTTGAAAAGTAAGGTCGACATCAGAAAAGCTTTTTGGGATGATTTATAGTTTTCATTCCGTTGCAATTTTAGACAATTTTTAAAGTGAACGAAAATTTTATTTATACTACTATTTGTTCATGCTATGTATTTGTTTATGTTGTAAAATAGCGATATTGTACAAATTGATAAAATCTCGTAAAAGCAATTCTTTCGATTATAGAATATTTGAATGCTTTCGTAAATGCAGTGTAATAAGAATTCATATTATAGAATTCCTATTTTACGTTCAATGCTTATTTTGTTTCAGAGCAATCAAATAGCCAAATTAATCTTCAAGTACGTCTTATCAATGCAACAGATACACTCACATCAACATTCTCGTTTCGCATTTCGGGATCGTTTTGATTCTGAAAAATTATGGGAACTATCTGGGAATATGGAATTTTATTTTTATCAACATTTTCGTTGACGGTGAGTGATAAATTTTACAATTTTTTTATGAAAGTTCTGATAAATTCACGAAAGTATTCTGAAATCTGCCAAAACACATAATGACACTGTACTCTCTTAGTTTCGAATTTTAAGCTCTCAATTAATATATAATTCTTATTTCAAATTTTTACTGCAAAAATAGGAAAAACTTTATTGCTAGAATTCGGGTCGATATCTGCGTTGAAACTATTGTCACCCGTTTTTTTGTGGTTGATTTTGTAATATTGCGCCAATGTATTTCATGAAATATCAAGTGCAGGTATGAAAAATGTCATATACGAAATTAGGAATACTCACTACCCTACAAACTGTGATGTGAGTGCGCATTAGGGAATAAATTCAAGATAACAATTTGTGGTAAAGTCTCAAACGCTCGTGTCATTATTTATGCCATTATAAAGTGTAACAAATGATGAATATGCATAGGAGAATATTTCATTTAGACATTATCGCATCATACCGGGAAGTGTAGTATATAAATGGGAAAGATGTACGTAGCATTTCGGGTTTGGAACTATATCTTCTGATATCCTTTACTTTCAAATTTTCACATTTATATTTGTACGACATTTTGAGAAACTTAATTTACAGTACATGTGGAAATTTATAGTTCGAACGTTTTTTTTTTATAATTATATCAAAACTTTCAATTTTTTTTAGTCAAAATGACATAAAAAAGTTTATTACCTTGATATTTTACATAATTTTTGTTTGTCGATTTTTTTGTTTTTGATACTTTTATTTAGTTTACTCTTAAAATGCATTTAATTTATTATTTCAAAAACTATTACAACGTGCTTTGCAGCAACTGTCAAAAACACACACATTCTTAAACACATTTATACAAATGCAAAATCAGGTAATTCAAAAAATCAAATCAAAATATAATTATCCACATTTTTCTAATCATCAACACGGAAAACAACCGTGATTTTTATCGTAATAAGTAATGTAAAGCGGTCGGAAAATAATGAAACAAATTCAAAAAGAATGTGATCATCATGTTTTCTACATTTCTCTACATTTCCCAAAAACAATTTAGGGCTTATAAATTACTGAAAGATATTTCAGGCTCAAGCAATCTTGCAAGCGTATCCATTCGTAAGCACGGTTTTGTTGTCAAATCTAACACCGTAATCTCTTTCGGCAAATTGACGAATTTGTTTGGAATGTACACTCTGAAAAATATACGGATAATATTACAAGTCTTGCTAAGTTATTCAAACCACCTCGAGCGCTAAATAGCAGTTGCAATACGCAAAACCTTCTTGCAATCAAGCTTGTGGTATATATAATTTAAACCTTTAAACCGGACTCATCTTTGATCAGGTTTGTACTGTTATTCTTCCCGGCACCTTGAATCAACTCGAGAGAGTATGATATAACAAAAGCGGCGAGAGATGTCTGGCGTTAAATCCCTGGGAGATTTGTAGCAATTGAAAGATGCTGAACTAATGCTACATCTTTATGTAACATAATATACCGACAAAGAACGTTGGATGTGTTTGCACTCACTTCTTTAGAGGATTTATGTTGTTCATGATTTACAAAAAACATTTCTGAATCGCAGCTACGATTGCGATTGTTTTAATATTTGGTAATCTCCGCGGGTTAGCCACGATGTTTTAGGCTTCAATTACGAATATACAAAATAAAAAAAAAGTGGGCAATCAAAAATTAGTGTTTTGAACTAACCTAGATTCCTAATAATCTATTCATTTGGCAGTAAAATCACGAGAGTTAATTCCTGTACTGCAAAAGCAGCTTATTTAATTGGAATTGATATTTTATTTATCTGCATCCTGACAATGTCTTTTTTGTCGAACGGAAAAAATTAATTCTTCCTAAACTTCCTTGCCCATCATTGATATTAATTTGTTTGGTATTTTACCCTATTCAGTTTTACCTATTGGCAAGTCATGAAGAGTTGGCCTTTCCACATGCATAGGGCGATCCAATTATTGGCGATCTATGCTATTATAAACACTTCGAATGTACATCTTGCTAAGATTGTTTGACTCCTTTCGGAAGTTATCATCAGGGTGACCATGAAAATGCATTTCTTCGAATCAATCTTCAAACTATGCTTTCGATTATTTATTTAATAGATTGTTATCGGAACAACACCCGATGAGAGTACGAAATTTCATTATACGAAGGCTCATTATAAACTTCACCAACTTGTTCGACGGGAGACGCACCCGCATCTTGAAGGTGGGTTGTTTAAATTGTGTAAGAAATTTTATATATATACGGAAAATAATCCTTACCCACGTATTGCCAAAGTGAGAGACGTAAAATAAACTATAGATCTCTCTTGCGGTCAAAATATGCTACAATTAAAGGAAAAACTACTGGCATTTCATTGTTTGCTTCATTAAATATTTGAAATGAATTACTAGTTACAATATTACCTACTAAAATCCCAAAAGGAGAAACTGGTAATTTGACTGATTTATCGTGCTGGTACTTTATCATTGTACCTCATGGTGCTATAAATTGTGGCCTAATTCAAGACTAAACAATGACTTTGAAATTTTAGACTAATTAATCTGTATGCTTTCTATTTGTATTCTACTTCTATTTGTAATACGCTTCTCAGAATTCTCGTAATTCATGAGCGACCTCGATGGGAATTGATTCTCAAATTTGAGTACACTCTTCAAGAGGTTTGTTAACAAACTCTTCTGATGACCCGTCAAACATTGTGTCACTTAGACGTCACACCTTCACAAATAAAAACTAGGTCGTCAATCTTGGTTTCGAGTTTTTAATTCATATTAGCCCCCGCGGTGTTTGATTTGCGTGGGTTTAATTTGCTATCAAATTATCATTTTGACATGGCAAGCAAACACCTGTCGGCACTTTTATTCTGATGTCGATAATTCGATTAATTGTGAGTCTAAGTTTGGATATATCCCAGCTGAAGCAAAGTAAACAGAAAGTAAAGAAAAGTAAGAATATACAAACTAAAATGTTGCAGTATACCAAGCAGCCTCACACGGAACCGTCGTTAAATCGTACCCGATTTCAAAAAATGATGTAATAGTTTTTTCTCGCTAAATAAACGTGTATACCAATGATTGAAAAGACACAAATAGCGCGTATTAACTTTTACAACTTTTACGTAAATTTTATTTTGATTTTAACAGCTTTCGGATATCACTAAAAACACAAAATTTACAACTAGTGCCACATCCACCGCAAAGCAAACTATACAATTTTCTGTGATATATTAGTTTTAAAATAAATATTGAATGCAAATGTATTCGCACATTTCATCCTCATTTCAACTTTTCTCATTGAAATTGCTAAGATTTTGATGTCCGTTCGAGTTACGAACAAGATTGCTTTGATTAAAATTGATTTTACATTACATAGCAATATGTTCAATTTTTCATTTTTAAGTTAAATTTAGGGAGTGGTAGATATTTTACTATTAGATAAAACTGTTTGTAACTTTGAAAAAGTGTTATAAATTTGACTGACCATCTGCACTGGTATATACGCCACTTTCTTGCTAATCAAAGACAATTACATTCCAGCTAGAAATTAAAGTCTGATGCCAAACCTCAAAATTAGGGGGAAGGGGATTTTGAAATCGTAGGGAGAGGGGGTGTACGGGTGGGTTCTGTAATTAAACAATTGAAAAAAAAACTGATGTTCAAACAGCTTTCACGCTGTGAATATCACAAATTATAACCTCGTACACTCGCGCTCTTTTCCCTTATTTTTTGGCAGCAAACATTCGAATATAAACACTCAATCACAAATTGGAAAATTTTATTTTTCAGAGGTAAGAAATCGGTAACTTATCGGCAATAGGATTAGATAGGCAATTTAAAATGTCACAAATCACTTTACAAAAACCATAAATTAGATTTTTGTTAGAATAATAGTTATGTCAACCACGACAAACAGTTTGTTTATTACTAAATCATATTTAAAAGTATATTTATATTATATTCAGATTTCGAAATCGTACTTCTTGAATATTACAGTGAAGATCACAATCCTATAACGGAGATTTATCACAATCGAAAGCGAAGGAGTCTTTCTAGCACTGAAAATTTGAAGTTTTTCAAAGTCACGTCTCACGGCCACGAATTCCATGTTGAACTAGAATCGAATACCAAGTTTCTTTCTCCCACGTTTTCTGTAACTAAAATAAAAAATGATGAAACTACAACGGAGATATTGGAATATAAAGAAATCATCGACGATGAAATTATTAACTGCCATTTCGTTGGAAAAATGATTTCCCATGAAAACAGAAGTACAGCAATTAGCACGTGTAATGGATTGGTAAGAAGTGCGCCTTTTTCTTATATTATGAATATGTGCATAGCCATATACATATGATTGCAACCAATTTATTCTAAAGACTTCAATGCGTGACTAGGGTAGGCTACTTCAAAACTATATTGAAAAGCGATATAGTTGTGTCGCACTCTGTGGCAATCTGCCAGATTGCAGAAACCCTAAACTTGACTCTTGTTTTTACAAGAATGAAGATTTATTTATTACTGAAAAGTAACTAGATTCATATAATCACATCAGAACAAGATATTATATTGCTGTATGTATATTTTTAAACAATTTTTTTGTTGATAGTCATCAAATTTTTGATAAAACGATAAATTTTCCTCCAGGGACGTGGTACAAGTTCTTGTATTTTCAGTTAAAATAGATACTAACTAAATGAATAAATTTAAATAAAGATGTGGCATTAAATTTTCCATACGATATTCACTCTGTAAAGTTTATGGGACCAAGTTTGTCTTTTAATTTGCGCTTACAAAACGAGAGATTTATCAAATCTTTCTCTTTATTTTATATTTCAAAGTCTCTCGTTTTAAAAAATCTAAACATCTCTCCTTTTGTCTGTGATGGAAACTCTCGTTTTCAAATGATTTGGCAATTTGCTGCAAGTACTCCAAGCATATCATTGAAGATTTTTAGCTCTTACGCTTCGAATTATTTTATGCCATTTCACATGCCAAAGTTGCGTCATCTTGTTGCGTCTATAGTAGGATATTTCGTCATTCGTAGTAAAATCCTGGTGCTTTATACGCCTGAACACAAAAGAACAATGAAATCTCAACCGGTGATTCGGTATCGTCACGGGTGTTTGAAAAGTCCTCGTGTGCTGATGAAAGCACGCGTACGAAAATTGTCATGCTCGCGATGATGGAACTTTCTCAGCTTAATGTTGATATCAGCAGTAGGAACGATTCATAAAACAATTGCAGTATTTTAAAATATTCTCCTACTTTATTACATAATTATAAGCAGGCTTGCGTTTCTAGCCCAGCTCTGATTCATTCCATAATGTATTCAGTTCTAAATCGTTCATTTATTGTTTCTCATATGTGATTAGTTAGAAATATTGGCTTATAGTCTCAGATGCACGTTTAGACGTCTAGAACTAATGATTTTTTATATAAAGATCCCCCTATTAGCACAGTTGATATAATACAGAAATATTCATAAATAATATTAAATTGATACAGCGTATCGCGCAATCCACATATTCAAGATATACAATAAAAGAATTACTAATACATACATTTTTTCTACAGCATTCTATTTTTCAATCGGATACAAGAAGTGCGCCATTTAATAATCAAACGCTAATATATAATAATGATTGGGCATAACAATAAAATGATTGACAGCAATACAGATCTTCATTTCTTGTTTTAGACTGGCCTTTTACGGACAGAAGAAGATGATTTTATTATAGAGCCGGTTCCAGATCATCTTGAACATGAATTTTTAGAATCTCAACAACCTCACATTATTTATAAACGAAAACATTTAACCACGAAGAAAGAGCGTTTGCATTTTTGTGGAAAACAAAAACGACGTAAGAACAAGTATTTTTGCTTAATATAAGATGATTGCCTTTTTCATAAGTTGCAATTCTGAAATATTTTGTTAATTGCGAATGCGTGTAACTTTTCGGTATAAATCAATAGATTAAACTGGAGATTGGGTTGGGATTGGGAGTATATGAGGTATATTTTTACAAACAAGTCCTTTAGCGACATTTATTTCCAGTTGTTAATATTTCAAAGTGAAGTCAACCATATATATGGTCTGGTCAATTTTGTAATAATTTTAAAAATGCAAAAATCTGATCAAAATGAGATTGTATGTGAAATACAATGGTGTTAAAGTACTGGTTGACTAACTATTTATTTGGACTATTACTGGCAATTATTTACTTGCTGTCATCACAACGGTAATTAATAATTAGTATTGGTCCTCTTATTTTCTGGAGTATACGATATAATAGTGCGGATTTCCACTTCCGGGTCGTATTCTTCCGCTACTACACAATAACCTACCTACTTGTTTAGTGTAATTTAGAACAAGCTAGGGTCACATAAAAAGCCACCTACCGACAAATCGCCTGCTTCAACAGGTTTGCGCACAATTCAAGGACGCTTTTAGGGAATCTCAACAAGATCTTTGTTTGCATATGCCACTTGAAGTAACTTAGCTAGGTGACGTAATATTTTTCATTGGTAGTTACTTGTGGCCAAGATTGGACTGTAAGTAAAACGTGTCTCATGAAGTGGGTCAGATTGATTAAGGGTCTGAAAATTTATTCCTAATTGTAACATTAATTCATAGAAAATATAGACATGGAGAAATTAAGTGATTGTAAACGCGGCATTGGATTTTTAAATCATATATTATCATATTACTAAGGAGATTGTAATTGATTTTCGAAGCAACCAAACGGATGATGCATCGCCTCAAATCATAAGTGCAAATATTCAATATTGTTCGCATTTGCTTTTGTTTGCTTGTATGTTGTTTGATGGTACCCGGAATTGCCACCTCTTTTAACATCATCAACGATTAAACAAACTGTACTCGCATAGATCAAAGGAGAAAACACACAATTGATCTTCGAGTTCACACACCTGGGAGATTTAATATGAAATTAAATCTCAATTTGAAAGCATTTTGCTGAGTGTGAATATTGATGAAAAAAAGAGAGATAAAACCAAAGTTGGGCCGTGGATAAAACGACTATCATATGTACCACGATGGACAGATTAATTTCAAGAAGATTAATCTACATAAAACCGCCAAATATCACGTTTCAAGCAAAATGAGTGTTTGTCGGGCGTGAACTTACTCCAATCAATTTAGTTGTCGAAGACGTTAAGACAAATAATTCATATATTCATTCAACTCGTTCAAAACTGCATCGTCATTCTGAATAAATAACACAAACATAAACAAATAATAATTCAGAAAATTTATTGTTGTCGGAAGAATGGTATTTGAACACAATTCCCGTTGGTTCTGTTTGCTAATTTCTGATTCATTTGTTTTGTAAAATTCTATCTGAATGTACATATGTGTATTTATAACAAATCCATTCCGGCTACGAGTGAGTCCCACTGACACCAACCCGCTTCGAACGACTTTACCTAATAATTTACGACGCGGACGGAATGTTTTTGAATTGGCGCCCATTACCCATAGGGTAGGATAGAACTTACATATTTATCCTAGGGGAAAGGCAGTAATAAGGGGTGCGGTGGCGAGCGTATTCCTAACCCTTAGCACGAAGAGCCACGCCATGTTCGATTAAATTTCTGATTATACTTTTATTCCACTATTTTTCTATCAGATCCGATATCAACATCAATCGAAGACATAGCCGAAATCAAAGAGTTATCTGACGGAGAAAGAATAATTGTACGATCGAAGAAAAAGGCAATACAAGAAGTAGTTTCTGAAGAGAACGGTGATCACAAGCGACAAAAACGAAATGTAATAGAAAAAGCATCAGAAACTAGGAAGGAACGAATCGTTGAAACATTGGTTGTCGCTGATCGACAATTGATAAAAAATCACGAAAAAGATCACGTCGATGTAACAACTTACGTACTCACCGTTATGAACATGGTAAGAATATGATGAATGGTTTTGGACATATGCAATATTGAGTTGCCACACTGGTTTGCACAGTTATTACATAAAAGCTAAATGATCATATGGTATTATTACATTCCAATCATCATTCATCACTCGTCATGTGGGAAGTGGTTTCCTGAATGCGGTTAATTGCGATTATTCATGCTAATTGCTGTACGATTTGGACAAATCCCAAATTTGCGGTGATGAACCGCGGATGCAATGTGTCTGGAACGCTTTCTTTTTAGTGGTTCAACAACAGTTTACCGCTACGCTATAGGTCGAGATTAAAAATGACACCCAAAGCTTTAACACCAATAAATTTTATAATTCTATGACATTATGTAGGCTACTTTTATAATAACAAAATGGCAGACTCGCCAATGAACCTGGCTTTTTCCATACGAGGGGGGACCTAAAGTATTTTTATGAAAATAACTAACTACAAATAAACATACAGAACTACTATCTTTCAGGTAGCAAGTCTGTTCAAGGATGGTACATTGGATGAAGACATCAGCATTGTTTTAGTTGGAATCGTCTTGCTCGAAGATGACGCGGTATATTTTTTCCAATAATTATTATTCCATTATATTACATTAAATACATATGTTTTTCAATTTTAACGTACCTATGGTGAAAATTTTATACTCAAGAGTGAAGTTTTGGGTAGCGGCCGAAGGGTTAAGAAATGAATCATACTAATTAGCGTTGAATGAATATAAATAGTAATTGAGGTAGGTTCTCGAGTACCGGAATCTCATTTCCATTAGGTGATAATAAATGACGTCAAACTAACCCTTACATTTGTACGTTTGTAGTTAGTATCAGATAAGGAAGAAAGCTTAGTTTTACTGAAATTTCCAAGTCATCGGGATTGACAAAAACGTCTACTGCGATGCCAGCTTCCGACTACTGTTATTTATAATGTTTCAAGCCTCAAATTTAATTAAAATATTTCATCTCGGCTTTCAACAAGTCTAAAGCATTGATACTTTCCGTTTCAAAAATTAACATATACGAAACCAGGAAATTCAGAAGTAGGAGTCCGAATTCGTTTACTTTATATATATATATTCCACAGCTGTTTGCTTATTAGTCACAAAATGGAAAACTTATATTCATGTACGACTGTAATGCCATCTTTGATTTTATATTTTCAGGATCTTCAGTTGGATCACAGAGCCGATAAATCGTTAATGAACTTTTGTCGTTGGCAGGCTAAATTCAACACTACTAACGGGAGAAAACCTGATCATTCTATTTTGCTGACAGGATTAGACATTTGCGTTGATAAAAACGAACCCTGTGACACTCTTGGTGTGTTTTAATTTTTTTGTAACAGTATTATTTTCTCTCATGCATTTGACACCTATTGCATAGAAATTATTTATAAATTTCCATTATACTTGTTTTCTTATTTTTATAAACAATGTAAGTTTGGTGTGTCATTGTTTATACCTTTTAGGCCTTGCCCAGATTGGGGGAATGTGCACTCAATCAGGAAGCTGTACAATTAACGAAGATATGGGACTAGGACTTGCCTTTACTGTTGCTCACGAAACTGGCCACAGGTAGGCTACCGAGTATAAAGAAAAAAAAAATTGGCTACGATAATGACTCTATCAATTCTGATTACTATACTACAGTTTTGGAATGAAGCACGACGGTCAAGGAAATTCATGCGGCAAACGAGATGGGCATATAATGTCTTCTGCGCTCAACACTTTGAATGGGGTTTTTACATGGTCATCATGTAGTCGGAAAAGTATGGCCCAATTTTTCAAGTAAGAGAAAAATATCATACAATTTTAACGCTGTCCCAGAATGTGATGACCACTTGTCCCGCATTTGGCCCATTGTTAGTACTCTTGTCGACTTTGTGGCACTCTTCCCACTTGCCCCACACGTGTCCCACACTCACTCTACTTGTCCCACATTCACCCTACTGTTCTCAGCTAGGAAAGATATATATTGTGGTGCAGATGGTTGGAGTGGAAAGGGGCCAAAGTGGACATATGAAGTGAAATTCGTGCTGTATTTTGGGTTACAATAAATATATTGATTTTGATACTCGTTTTTATGACATTAAAGAATGATACTTTTAGAACTGCTCGGTCTCATTGTCTCGATGATGGTGACAATGAATTCCCTAACGTCACATTACCTGGAAAACTCCCAGGAGAAAAATATAGCGCTAATCAGCAATGCAAACTTCAATATGGAAGATCTGCTAAACTATGTAATTCTCGATATCAGAATAACATGGTAAGCTAAAAGATAATTTATAATAAATACACATCTTATTTGAATAAAGGTAAAATTACTTTAAAATATCAAAGACGCACATGAGAACACACCATACTAATAAAATTCACAGGGACATTAGGATGTGATAAAAGTTTGGAAAAGTTGCATAGACAATATTTCTAAATTACGACGGGTTAATCAATCTTTGGCTCAATACTTTTTTCTTTCCAGTCTCTGTCTTTTTTTTTCTTTTTTTATCTATGCACGGTTGGCTCATCACTTTGGTACTCTCATTAACATCCTTAAAGATAATTTGACCATTGTCTTTTATTGAATGCCAACATTCAGAATCTAGTCTGTAAGTTATTATGGTGCCGCAATGAAGATGGTGTCTGCGAGACCAAATATATGCCTGCTGCTGAAGGTACAACATGTGGATTGCGAAGGGTTAGTTAGTACTTGCTTTTTATATTTATAATAATAAGTAACTGCAAAAAAAGGCATTTGATACCAGGTGTCTTCTAAGATATGAAGAACCAAAACTATATGCGCTGTATAATATGGTTCCCTAACATAAAATTCTGAAATATTCCGGCCAACACGCTGAACATTGAACAATAGGACATCGCACCTTTTTCACAGATAGAGTTTTTAACAAATAAAATTAAATCTTTCATTTTGTAAAAAATTCATATAAATATTTTTAGAGTAGTCAATCTTTGTATGGTCAGATAATAAACAATCTTTCAAGAAAATATTTCATTTTTTAGTGGTGTAGAAGAGGTGTCTGCGTATCTAAAGGTTCTCCACCTCCAAAGGCGATTAATGGTGGTTGGTCAAAATTTGGTCCGTGGTCAGAATGCAGCAGAACGTGTGGTGGCGGGGTTTCATTTAGACAAAGATATTGTAACAATCCAATGACAATGTACGGAGGAAGATATTGCGAAGGCGATGAAAAGATATATGAAATTTGCAACTACCAGGTAATGTAATACTTGCCTTGTGTTGCCTATGGCTATAATTTTACGTGGTGTACTTTTCGCGTTTTCACTTTTCACTTTTCTAGAATGTGTAGTGTAGCAAGAAGCACATACAAACATTTTCGTTGGTATATAAATAATAAACTTTACGAAATAAGAGTTGAGATTCTTTGTTATCAACTCAAATCTTCATGTAACATAATGATACACACAATAGATTGGCATTCTTTGAATTATTTAGAATGTCTTTTCAAATTTGTAATTATAGGTGTAATATGTTATGCAGTCATTTAAAGTCAGGGGAATTTTAGAATTAGTATTTAGTTGGAACATTTTTCCACTTACCTATTGTAACTAATTTTAGAAATGCCCACCAGATGCCCTCAATTTCCGGGCACAGCAATGTGCTACATATAATAGCCAACCGTATCGTCGACAATATTTTTCATGGATTCCTTTCACAAAGTACTGGAAGTATGGTGAGTCTATTTTTTCTTGTACGGGGTTAATTTCTGAACCATCAAAAGTGTTTTGATTTCTTCAACATTCGCAGTTTATAAAATTATTAGTGTAAACATCATTTGTATCTAGATTTCAACAAATGTGCCTTATTATGTGAAGCAGATGGGTTGGGATTTTTTGATCGACTTTCACCTCAAGTTGTGGATGGTACACGGTGTGATGGGGTATCTAATGACGTTTGCATTGCTGGTCAATGTGTAGTGAGTATTTGTAAATGAGATTTTTGACATAAATACACATATGGATATGAAGAGCGACCTGTTGGTAGCACTTGTATTAAAAGTTATACATACATGCATATATATTAGTAAATATAGTAACGAAAGTTTTTATATGATTGATTTATTAATTTTAGTGTCTGGGGATTCAGAAAAAGTAATATTTGTCGAGAGGTGCAGAGCATGTAATAGGAAAGTTGAATATGATCGTAAACTTATCCGGTTCCGTAGAACTGGTGACATTGCAGATATTATAAAAAACAAATAAATATATGTCCTAGAAATATGACGAATTACATTTTACTGACGTCATTTGATAAACCCTGGTGTTCACTGGTAATATCTCAAAAATTTTATTCAACTCAATAGATATCACAAGTAAGGCACAATTCATGATGTATTTCATGATTTTTTCCCGTAAAAAACCTAATTTTACTAAACAATTTACAGCGTGTTGGATGTGACTTCGTGGTAAATTCGAACTCGAGCGTAGATGCATGTGGTGTTTGTAATGGTGATAACTCTACATGTAAATTTGTAAATGGAAGTTTCACAGAACAAGTACCAGATAGTGGTTCGTATTTTATTTTATATAACAAAGTTTAACTAATTATAAGTATTTGTTTTCTAATTTTCATCTTAAGGACGTTGTACAGCTTTCTGATAATTAGCAGAATGTGCGTATGGCACTGGCGCTATATGTATATCAGTTGGCTGTATATGTATATTTTGGGCTCATGGCTCACAGGCACGAATGTAATCTAGGCCAGTAGTGTGATATTATTTTAAACTATCACAATGTTTTTAAAAGTACAGACAATTCAAATTCAGGGTATTATCCTCTGGTCAAGATTCCAGAAGGAGCTCGTTCGATAAGAATATGGGAAAATAAATGTTGCACTCATACGTATATTGCAGCCCGAAGTCCTACAGACCAATCGAGGTAACTTGACATTGATTATAACGTTATATTTGGCACAGACTTTCTGTTCGACTAAACTTGACAGAAACAGTAAAATCATGTTTGAACTTGTGAATATATTGCTTTAAAGCATGGCACATGGCTGGATCTGGATGCTGTAAAACAATATTGTTTAGATCTTGATTTAAAAATTGAAGTGAAAAGTCTGACGCGGTCCCAAACTATCTAACCTTATCCGACTCTAATTTATCCTTTTTCCAGATACTACCTAAACGGTAATTGGCGAGTCCATCTGTATGGAAAAATGAATTTTGCTGGAACAAGCTGGAAATATGAAAGGGAAGGAACAAAAAGTGAAACATTATATACTGATGGTCCTCTCACGGAAGATGTTCTGATTGAGGTATTGTAGTATCTTATATCGATGCTCCATAGCTTTAACCGAATTTAAATGTTATATATTTCAATACTATTAGAACATAAATGACGTCATAGAGTCCAAACTTCTCGCGAGCACAAACTTGATTTTTAATTAATAGACCTGTTATTTTTCTGGTGACCTATATCTCTGTTGGTGATGGGTTACCGACATGTGATAGCGGGCGATTCAACATTCCTTTATATAAAGTGAAATAAATCTGACGTCACACGTCGAATAGAGTATTTAATGAAATTTGTTGGAAAGTTAAAATAAGTTTTCACTTTTTACAGGCGTTAATAGTTCAAAAAAATCCCGGAGTATCGTACACATATACAATCAAGGAAATGGACAACGAATTGCTACATAATAACCAGCAAAAACCTCGACATACATACGCATGGTTAAAAGAATTCACACCTTGCTCTAAGTCCTGCGCAGGAGGTACAGTGTTGGACAGTGTAATAATTTGTTATTCATAGGATAAGACAAAAAAAATGTCAGAATGCTTATTTACCATTTAATTCATTTTATTATTTTTTATTTAATTTTCTTCTTCAATCAACACACCAGTTCCAAATTGTTACATTTTGTTAGTGTAAATTTGCTTGAAAGTGAATTTTACTGTTGTTATTCATTAGGCGAGCAAAGCAGCGTGCTAACATGTTTGGAAGATAATGTGCATGAGGTAAACGATAGTTATTGTGAAGAGGTAGCACCCAGACCAGAAAATCGGATTAAAAAGTGCAATACTCAGCTGTGTCCTGCAAGGTAATATGAACCTCATTACTCAAAAATGTTAACATCAGGAGTAATGTGAAGGATAGAATTACAGTACGTTAACTGTTTTACCGAAGTAATTAACTACAATCATGTATTTTATCAAATAAATTCAGTTAAGGATGCGCACTGCACGTATCAAATTATGTAATTCGAAGTTATTCCCGAACATAACTATCAAGCTTGATGTCATCTGAATCTGAATATAATGTTGCAGTTGGGAGACAGGAGAGTGGAATTCTTGTAGTCGAACTTGTGGTGGTGGTATTCAAACACGACAGGTTTCATGCAAGAGAATGACTGATGATGGACCAGAATACGCTTCAACAAACGAGTGTGATCTCAGTAAAAAGCCACAAAGAAATCAAATATGTTCAAAGGAAGACTGTCCACCTGAATGGAAAACTAGTAGATGGTCGCAGGTAAGCTGGTAGGCGTTAGACTAGATACCAGTTAAATCGAAAGAATTAAATCGTAGGCAAGATAGGTCGGTTAAAGAATATAATTAAATTTTGGCGTTATTTGTAACACTTTTTTTCATTTCGAATTATATTCTCTTGATTTGCTGATAAATACTACAACATTTCAATGATGGGTCTAACCCATGAAATGAAAAAAAGATGCAGAGGATAAAACCTTTTATAATGTGGTTACCATTTATATCTCAGTGCTCAAGAACGTGTGGTCGGGGAGTTCGTACAAGAACAATATCTTGCAAGAGTGGGATGAGAAAAATACCGGAAAGTAATTGCAAATCAAAATCGAAACCAATATTCAGGCAACATTGTTTGATTTCTTATTGCAGAAGGAGATTTCAATGGCTGCTTTCCAATTGGGCATCGGTAAATGCTTTCTCATTCTTCATTACTTTTTTGTCATTACCAGCACGAATGATTTTCAGCTAGAGCATTCAGTTTACAATCAGTAAAATAACGAATCTGACTGATCGAAAGAGTGTTGTCAGACAAATATGAAGTTAAATATAGTATACGAAGTTGGCGTTGTGTTTAATAGATAATTTCGATAAATAGATAATTTTTATTTTGCAGAAAAGAGATCAGAAAGACATTTTGCAAATTCATAGTTTCAATAACAGTTTCTTATTCAATTTACCACATATCATCATACTTATCACGCCAAAATCCGACTAGTTGTCTACATATCCTTCGCTGTGTTTAAATTATTATGTTTATCAATATATTTTATATTCTAGTGTTCTGTTAGTTGCGGAGAAGGTCAAGAAACGAGACGGTTAAAATGTATTTTCAAAGACAGGGTCGGTCAGAATAAACAAGTCCACGCACGAAGATGCAGACATCTGAGAAAACCGCGTTCTTCGATGACAAGGTCATGCTCTCTACAAATATGTGTTGCTTCAAACAACGCGACGGACAATTCTGATATAACTACAAAAAGCGTTGATGGAGAAAATAATAGTACAAGTGTATCATCAAGGCGTAAGTCAGGCAATCACCGACATAAAATCAAAATTGAAATTAGGGGACCAACTTGGGTGCCCAGCGAATGGCAAAAGGTGCAGTATATATCTCTCTATATAAATACATTGTAACTTACATAAATTTCTTTTTGATTATGATATTTCATTGTTGCTGTCAGATATACATGTGTTAGAATGCTAATAGTAATTGAGATATATTTTCTACCTAATTCAATTTTAAATTTAATAATAAAGTGGAATTGTGTATATTACATTCATTTTTTCCCTTTATTCGTTACCAGTGCACTGTTACTTGCGATGGGGGCCACCAAGTAAGAGCAGTAAAATGCTTATCTGATGGAAAAACCTCAATAGATTGTTCGTTCGATGAAAAACCAGCAAATACAAGAATTTGTAACACGAAGGATTGTTCAGCAGTCGAAGAAGGTTGAAATACGTTTCGTTGTGTCTTTATTTTTAGATTCATATATTTATGACGTAACACTTTCAATCACGTGACAATTAATATTTTGGAGAGGTAACAAAGGTCAATTCAAACACATTGTTAGGTCTTTTATACCTTACTCTGACACACAAAAAAAAATTGTTTTCTACATTTAATCTATTTATTTATTAATTTTTTTTTTTAATTTCAGATCCTTGCCTTGATTCTTTTAAATGGTGCCATTTAGTACCTCATCACAATACATGCTCTCATGCGTATTTTGGAAAACAATGTTGTAAATCCTGCAAGAAAAGATCTAAGTGATCGATTCTTCAAAGACAACATTAAAATTGATATACCTCAATTGAACCTAACTACCTAAAATAGACAAGTAAGTTGAAATGAATTTTGGACATTTATTGGGATGTAAGATCAATAAAATAGAGCAGAACGACCTTGCATCAACGCAGGAAGGAAAAACGAAGTTTAACACAAAGAATTCCGTGTTCCTATTTACAACAATAATGTCCAAATCATTCATCAACATACGAAAATAAATAAGATTTGTGGAAAATCAAGTGCATGGCGCGTACAGCTTCACTGAAGAATAGAATTGTCTGCAAATCACAAAATAGGAATATAGCTGCCACTACCAAAGCATACCAAGTCTCGTGTTCATTTTTGTGTTTGCCAATACTGTATATTGGACAAAAATCGTTTTTTTTTTCTCTTTTTGTGTTTGTGCTGTTAACAAATAGCAATAACATATTATCGTCTGCATTAGGAAGAAATCTACTTCATTTTTATTATGTTTACTCATAACCACACTGTGTATTTATTCTTTGTTACTTACTAACAATATTATTGTTATTATATAATAATACATATTAATATTTTTTTTGCTACCTTTTGCGCTATATATAACTTTACTTCATTAATTTATTAAACTATGAAATAAAACTTTCTGCGTGATTTATTTTCCATGTTCTCAATACTCAAGCCTTAACATAGAGGAAAATTATTTGAAGTTAGTGGTGAATTTTTTTCCGTTGCAAAATTATTTCTCTGGGAGCACTCTAGAAGTTTTTGTATTATTTTTCACTATGTGATAGTTTATTCTCCCAAAGAGTATAATTAAGGTGTCTGTTTTTACGCACGTATTTCAAATCAGGAGTAATTTTCAAACTGAATTTTCAATGGCAGATTTACCACCCAGCTGGGCACTTTTCTCCGATTTACTTCCGGATTATAGCATTTCCGGATGCTTCAAATTTTACTCAACCAGTCATCTTATCCTAAGAGTGTAGTCGGGAGTATGACACACAGATGAAAAAAATCATATTACTCGTTTATATAAGATCCGGGCATAGTCGATAAATATGATCTCAATTTAAATTTAACTTTCTTCCAACTTTAATCCAATTTGGAGGATTAATATATATCTGTTTCACACTCACGTTTTCTCATTTTGTGTTAGATTTTGATTTTGACCCTGAATAAATATTCGTACTCACTAGGTGGTAATAAGCATGAACTATACAACTTCTATAAATAGAGAAATAGTAGTACCAAACCTAGGCATGGAAAATATTTGATACTTGGTCAAAATTTAAAGACTTTTATGAAGAAACGTTGGGAATAAACTTTGGTTGATATATTTTGGATGTTCATGAACTTCCAGATTTTTTCTCATCGTTGCAAGTCAGAAGATCAAAAAATAGCATGATTGGTTGATATTTTGATTCACATTTCAACATTCAAAAAATACTTCAAAGGGCTCTGAAAAATGCTATGTTCTCTGACCTGAAAAACGTTCATCCCACCCAGCACCAATAAGTAAACATTAATGGCACCGGAAATATTTCCGGAATAAAAATATTTTTATATTTCACGCTAAGGTAACGTCATGCGTGTCGTACCATCCTAACGAATGTTAAGCTTGACTGAATAGAGGGTGTGGATGAACCCCTACCGACTGTAAAATGTTGATACTAAATCCCATAGGTCGTACTCCTAATGCCGTTTTATATAGATTTATTTAACATCAAAGCCACCACCACAAGTATTTTCATACACCCGAAGGTGTTGTATAAATAAAACAAAGCAGGTAAACAATATTAAACTGGGATTGTCATCAAAACATAAATAAAAGCAAAGCTATATCTGAAAGTAGTTTATATTTTGTCCCCATCATCACAAAGCGTTGCAAAATTTTCAACAGTTCGAAATTTAACAGTTTAAAAAAAGGGGCTTTCAAATCACGATACGTCAAGATATACACATGGTGTCATATTATTTTCATTTTATTCATAACAGTGATTAATAAATTTAGGCAAGTAGTACAAGTGAAAACTTCTAGGTCAATAGAATGGCCTAAGATGCGATTCTCCGAATTTTAGCTCAGACGAATTTACTTTCGAAACTGTAATTAAATTGCAAATTAGCGCTGTTCAGTAAAAGTCGTTTGGTTACACTCGTCAAGTGTAGTATTTAAATGAAATTCGCTTAGTTCGCTTATTGGCCATAAATAGATAAGTTGAAAAGTAATACTAAAAAGAACCACTTAATCAAAGGTTACCTCCTTCGAATATACCCCAACTCTCCCTCGCTTTATATCTATCAGGGCAGATATATTTGAAGTTTGGATGAAAAATTTATATTAACCTTCAAAATTCATTCTACTTCAGACGATTCGGTTCATTATGTTTATGATATATATTAATTTCATTTTATACCTCCCTTTATTGCTACAATGGAATGATTGGGTTTGTTGCGGCTTTTCGATTGATGTCGTAATAAAGTTTCACAAGTTCACAAAGAATCCCGACATTCATTTCCCTAATATCGCTACAGTTTATTTTACCTCAAAGGTAAGTGGTAATGCTAATATGTTCAAGTGTCGGCATTTGTCTGGCCCTTTGTTGTTTATTGTTATTAGACAGACCAGTCAAAATTTATATCTCACAGCGGGGGTTAAGTTTATCTCTCGGACAAAGTTGACGATGGATTTTTCAATGGGCCAATGTTTGCATTTTGCAAAGTAGTCTGTCTGCGTTGCACCAACAAGGAAAATAGAACTTCTGTCAATTTACCGCAGACGCCATTTGCGCTGAGAGCCTACATCATCCGTGAGTTTCTGATCAAAGAAAGCCAAAAAACAATAACAAAATTAATATCAAAGGTATTTTGAAGTAATTGGGATGGACACTTTTTAAGTTAGAAGAAGTTTCGATGGTCTTTGTCTGTTGGGTACGGGCTTAATCTTGATATCGCACATAACAATTTTATTCAAAATATCATTCTAGAATTTGGGTTTCGCAGAAGAACTTAAATCCGCTGCCAAATATAATAAAATAAATTTAATTAGTGTGATTATGCAACTTTTAGGCTTACACCGTACTTTCAAATAAACATTTTATTTGAAGGAGCAGGTGTGAAGTTGGTATGTTGAGTTACGGTACAATCTCAAATCTCTCAATCTCAATCTTAATGCCGCATCTGATGTTATTAATACAAGTTTGGCCAAATATATCATCTGGTCGTCTAATTTACTAATTCTATATCTATGGGAACGGTAAATACTCTGGTAGAACAAACATAAGAAGTTTGGACAAATTTTGTCTTTTGTACAATTAGTCTTGACAAATGACATCCTGTATTTTGAACCACCATTAAGCTAATGTATGATTAAACAAATCCAAATAGGTAAAGTCTATTAGAAGTAGTTTTGTGCAGAAGTCGTAAGCGACAAAGTACATTATAAAATTAAACAAATGTCGAGACGTGTACAATAACCGCCGCCTGCTTCCATTATTCCGATATTGAATTTAGTTATTATCTTGAGTAAATCAATGATTTTGTTTAATGCGGATAAATGTCTGAAACCACAACTTACCGGAGAAGTAAAATGCGTTAACAATAGGCGGAGTTGTTTCTCGAGCCTTCTTCCACAAATATGATCCGTTTGAGGAAAGAGTTGTAACTCAATCATAGCTTCACGGGCCGGACTTGAATTGGAGAACATACATTTAAAAAAAAAACTCTTGTGGAACGAATCATATACCGACGCAGATGAATAATTGAAAATAGTCGGTGAAATGTGCTTTAATTTTAATCCATCTCCTTTCCGTACACCTATCATTGATTTTCACCAATTAATCATTTTTCTTTTAAATCCGTTCTATTTTATTTCTAAAGCGTTGAACTTGTCTTCAAAGTCGCATTGACAATGTGCTAAGTGACGATGTCAGTGTGATTGTCTATGGATTTAAACACATTTCGTCATTTTGTATAAAATCGGTATTGATCTTTAAATCTTTAGACTGGCAGATTAAACGCCAACACGATTTCTTTTAACACAAATCCGCACGACAATTATCGTGACTTCCGACTTTATTAAGGACAATACTCTAGTTTACATTATGTGGTATTTGAATCCTACACAAGCGATCCAGACAACGCTTTTGACAATGAATTTCGGATTGCTACATATCGATAGATCCTTTCTCATTTGATAAAGAAAATCTTGGTTAGTATATTTTTATAGTGATTTTTATAGAAATTTGCGACCAAGTTATATTATATTTAAAAATGTAATGTTGTGTATAAAAATGAAATAAACATCGTGATCACAACTTTTATACGTGCTTTTTAGTGTTTTTTTTTTTTATAACTGATTCCTTTAGAAATATAAAAAAAATAAGAGAAACGCATTGTCGTATACTCCGCAGAGATTATTCTTTTGTGGGGTTTTGTGCTCCTTTGAGGATCAAAGTGTTAGTTTGAACATCCAATCCACGCAGACATATTTGCCATTTGACATAAGTCAAAACAGCACAAAAATTTTATATAAAAAATTACTCAAGTCTGACATCATGCGTATGCGAAATGGACACTATTACAAAAATGCGTATGTATACAAGTACAGTATATATATCATATTCATATCGGTGAATAATTTAGCAATGTTTTTCTAATAGTTTTAAAATCAGTTGCTAACAGCAATCAAGTTGATTCCAGAGTCAATTTTATCACGTATTTCATTGTTTTTATTCTCGTGTTTTACTATGGACAAGGCTCTGTACAGACTGTAGCTAATATCTTTCTACGGGGTACACAAGTTTTCTTTAAAAAAATTTTGAGCTGTTAGATTTTGGTGTAGAAGTGCAAGTTTGCAAAAGGTAAAAAATAAGTATGAAGGTAGCTTACTAGCGCTTACGAACAATGTGCATTTTATTGAATGTTTATTTAAAAAGCTATTTGAAGTTTACGTTATACAAAGCCAGCACGTGTCTATCTAAAACAAATTCTAGCTACTAAAAGACGATCTGGGATAATCACATAATTCTGGAAATTTAACCCTAATCTAACGTATCGTTGTTTTATGGTTTATGAATGGATCACTGCAAAGGCTAATGCGGCTTAGTATCGGCAACTAAGCAGGCTTTGGCATTTGACTTTGGGGATTGAACTCTGTATAGTATGACTTCAATCAACCTGATCGATCTGAGAGGTCTATCACTTCATTTATCGATTTATGTATATATATATATATTTACATGTGCATATTTATCCAAGTTAATCATTTGAGTCTCATTCAACGTATCTGAAATATCAGGAAAAATATAGATAGTGGTATATGTTCTGCAGCAAAAAACAAACTTGAAACTTGTGCGTTCGTTATCCACATCATGAACTGCAATCGATAAACTTTATCAGTACAACAATATCAATACAATTAATATATATAAACAATAATACTATAATAGAGATATAATTTTTAATATGCAGAATACAGAATTGTAAAGATATGATTGAAACTAATATTTTGATAAAAATATGACGTGCAATAATACTGTCACTTTTAATATCAGTTCTTCGTCTTTTAATTCTGGAGTATTACTTAGGCATTTTAATTTTTGCCCCATTACATTGAGTGGAGCAGAATTTTCCGGGAATAATTCGTGATGCTTTTTGTATGCAGGCTCGGACAGAAAGTGATCTTTAAATTCCTTCAAGGACAAATAATAATCTAATGTTGGGCCATTCTTTTTTTCTTTCTTCATGCCAGAAATTTCACTATATAAATGGTCGTAAAAGCACAGGTCGTCGAAGTTAGGATGGTTTTCACGTGAAAAATAATTTTTAACGGGCTGTTGGTAAAAAGTGTCAAATATGTCGAATCCTGAAACAAATTTTGGCTTTTCATTCCTCTGCGTTACCTGTGTTGGTTGATCATCCACTATCAACTCGCAGTACTCATGATTGTAAATTGCAACCATGCCATTTTGCTTCAGCACTCGGTTGCACTCACAAACGAAGTCATTGACATTCATGTAATGCACTGATCCGGCAGCGATAATAAGATCAACAGATCCGTCCTCCACGGCTATTTTATTTTCTTGTCCAACAAAATAGGAAACTTTTGGTGACTTGTTTAACTTTCGAGCATTGTCAATTTGAAACTCACTGGCATCAAAGCCAACAGCTCGATGGAAATATGGCAAGTACCATTTCAAGGAACGGCCGTTACCGCAGCCTGCGTCTACAATCAGCTCCAGCTTGGAATTATCACGCGATGTCATCAGGCGTTCCAAGACGTATTGTGCAACCGCAGCAGGGTAAGTAATATTGTTATTTTTGGCGTAACTCTCAGCAATTTCTGGCTGTTTCCAGAGCTCCATTTTAGTTCAGTTTGGTGCTTTAATTACTTAAATGACGTTACATACAATGTTGCATCTGAAAAGCCGAATGATTGGGATCACTGACTAAAACTAAAAGTGCGTTAGTTTGAATGTAGGAAACGAATGTTAGTTTGGCTATAGAAAACGAATGATTACTAGTGTATATAGTCAGCCCAACACAGGTCGATAAGTCATCAGTCCTATACGTTATCAATCACGCCACTAAATATTTCAGAGATAATTCGTTCAACATTGGATATTTATCTATCTAAAAATACAGAATATTTCCCAGAAAACCTGTATTGCAGCAGAAATTTTCGGATGAAATGATTTGGGCTAATATTTTCGCTGAAACTAATTCAGAGTGAGGATAACAACCATGTGAAGTCTGAAGTCGGGGAAAATCCGTTTTGAATCGAACATAATATGATGAACTAGCTTATACTCAACAAAGTTAAAATTGATGTGCCAAATCGAAGGTTTGGAATTCAATTACCTACTAAATCACCAAAACATAGCAAAACGTCTTTATGCACCCAATATTAAAAATGTCTGGAATCTACTCTTTAGTCTAACATAAAAACAATCTTTTCTCGCAAATTGTTCATATTCCTGTTCAATGTCGAGTACAAGTGTACTACAGAGCACAATTAATAGTTCATCGTTAACAAGTTGTATATGCTAATTTTGTTGAATATAGTGCACTGCATTAACTGATAGGCCGTAACGACTATTATTGATCATCGAAAACGATTATCTGAGGCTTGTATCCTTGACCATGACATTCTGCAAATTATAGCAATGAACCTTTGCTATATATATATATATATCATTAGTCGTGCACGGATGAAAATGCACGAATGACATCATGCTACGCGTATATATTCAACAAGTATGTTGCATTTGCAATGTAATGTTATTGATGTGTAATGGAGATTTACTTATACGCAAACCCTTGCATTAGTTTATATTAAAGAAAGTATTTCTTTATAAAAAAAGGGGTTCAAACCAGAAAAGTAATATCTTCAACATAATTATAATATTAATTATAAAATGCCTAATTGGAACCATAAACAGACAAAATGAGTCAAAGCAAATATCAATGATCGATTATGTGTACATGCATGTCATTACATGAACGTTGGACATTGCAACTTCGCACATGCTAATATTATTTGCAACAGTATATTTGCACACACATTATAGTTATACCAAACAATTGCAACTAGAATATTTATACCTACAGACGCTTGATGTCGTGATCGCTTATTCAGGAACATTTCCTTTTAAGCAGATATGCATCTAGTAAGCTTTGTACATGTTAACGTGAGCATTCTTGGTTATATACTGGTTTTGAAGCTAATATTTCGATACAATTGCGAGGTGTAGTATTACTATCGGTAGAGTTTGCGCGAGACTAACCTCCAATCCTTTCTCAATGCCTTTGCCGCTAGTGGATCCGTATGCGTATAATGCAAGGATGATGTAGCAGGTATAAAAATACCATAATATACAATTTAAGAGTTTTATGCTGCACACTAACACAATTATATTTCTTTAAAGTTTCGTCTGACAAAAATCAGACTTCCTCAGGCAATCAGTTTACAACAATGGCACGAAAAGAACTTTCTGAACTGCTGGTCATCAATCAAGTCACTAAATTTCACGTGTCACGTCATTAATATATTACTTAACTCGTTTCACATTAAAACTAATATTGTCGTTGCAATCTGTTGTCTGAGCTACGATGCATCTTTATTTCTCTGAAAATATACCCCCCAAAAAACATATACTGATTGAAGCTTTGAGACCTGCTTCCACATATCAGAATTTCTTGAAACAGAGAAGATTTGGACTTTTTTTTTGGCAAAAGCCATTTAAGAGTACGGAGAACAACGATGGGAGGTCTGAACTTTAGAAACTTTGTTGTAAAACCTATTGAACATGATACAGTGAGGTTATATTTGATAATGGTATAGCCCCCCAAAACCACAGAAAACTAATGCCCTTATTCGAACGTTTACTAATTCCCAGTTTTAAAAGCTGAAAATGAAGAGCTGTCTAAGAAAAAGTGTAATAAAGGACACTATATCTGTTAGTAGGACGAGGGCACAGGAATGTCACGTAAACCACTGACCTGCCAAAATGTATAACTAATTTGATGTAATATTCGATGGCATTATCAGGATATCTGATGAAAAAATTTACTATTGTTTTCGAATAATTAGTAAATGAAGAATACTATATATGGGTCATGGTCCTCTTTGTGGTTGTGTCGTATCATTGTGGTCAACAAAACTATTTGTTTGCTACCAACTCGAAGAAACTTTTTTAGTGTGACTAATTTTTTGAACAGAGATACTATTCAATGATTGCGTACCATTCCGAACTGAGACGTTTTCGATGATGTGCACGGAATACACTCGCCTATTGAATGACTAAAACATAGCAAACCGTTTTAATTTTTGAAACTACTCTTCAAGCTATACTCAAAGTTATCTCTCCTTGCATATTCACACAGTCTTTGTCGATGTTGAGCACAAGCGTACGACAGTCACAATGCCATTTATAGTTGATTCGTTCATATTAACATGCTGTAAAACGTGTATTTGTTGAAGATTGTGCATTCGATTTGATGATAGGATGTAACGAACAGTATCAATCACCAGAAAAGATTAATCAGAGGCGCACATCTTTGACCAATGCATACTAACAATTATAACAATGAACCTTTCCTTTATACAGAGCGTTGGTTAAGCACGGTCGGAAATCAATGAATAGCACCATGATACGTATGAATATTCAAAACGTGCATTGCATTTCAATGTAATATTATTGATGTGTAATAGTGATTCACTTATATATACACGAACCCATACATCGGCTTGTATTAAAGCATTTCGTTATGTAAAAAATATAAAAAAGGATCAGAAGATGTTGCAAGAAAAAAAATATTTTTGAAATAATTTATCATGATATATAACAAGAGAGAAATGCTCAATTGTATGAACACGAAAGTCGGTAATTCTTACTGTTATACGCTAAGGCCTTAGCTGAGCACCGAGTTTGCTTGAAAGATAGGTGGACAATAGTGTAATGTAGGTATATAAAAGTGTGCCCCGTTAATTAATAAAAATAAGGCGGCAACGAAAAATTAAAATCCAATGATTCATTAGTTGTGGAGAAAGGCGATTTTTTTAACAGTCAGTTGAGTCCAAAAACATACTGGTCATTTCCAATATAGTATAACCCAGAGTATAGTAAATCTTGTAGTAAACTTAATAAAAAGATTTCTTGTTAAATACGTTTATCTTGTACAGACACTGCCATGAAATATCGTTGTTCTCTCCGCTGGGTAGGGCCTGGCAGATTTTGGAGCAGAGGTATATGTCGCTAAGGTATATGTCTTTCCTGTTGTTGTTTTCCTTTTTTTATGTTGTTGTTGCTGCCACTTGTCTCATAAACTCCTTGACCAATTGCTTTGAAATTTCCAGTGATTAAAGATTGTATTTGTCGCTAGAAGCTTTTATCTATTTCAAAAAGTTAAGTCAAAATTAAAAATTGCGCACCTTGTGGCGGTTCTGCGTTCGCGTTGGTTGCTAGGCGAAGTACTTCGTTTTGGCTTTAGTGTCCACTGTCCATATATTTGAGCATTGCTCTCATGTTGACAACTGAATTAGTGATTTGTCGACCATAAAATTACACTGTTCGATAATAATATCTGTTTGGATGCATCTGAACCGAATTTAAACAGAACCAATGCATATCCCTGTACACCAAACAATTGCACACATCGAGGAATATGATCGCACTTCGTTCAACTTCAGTTCTTAAGAGTAGATGACACGCTATTTGACTAAAATAACATAAAGCACAGACAAACATGGGAAATCATGCTACACAAGACATATATACAGTGTTTAAGTCATCAACTACAATTTGACTTAGTCTGAACTACCTTACAGCAGCTTAGTGCTACCGGGCTTGGTAACATTGATCCGTACTTGAACATGCAAGAATCCCTTGACAATATTAAACATACCCAGCCTGACTCTAATTGCAATAACTCCTATAATGGTATGAAATAATAGAAACGAACGAGTTCAAATGTTTTTCAAACTCATTTTATTTAGTAAAAATCTAAAGAAGTCGAATTTATTCCCAGTAATTGCACTAGAGGGGATGTATTGTACCTTCCGATTCCTTTCGTATGCTTCGTCCCACGATTTGAGTGCACAAACTGAACTATGATCTAACATGCAAAATGGAGCAAAAACTAAGAGTCGCATCCAAATATGAGTGAACACAAGAAAATATGCTTTAGTACCAGAGGGATAAAATGCTCCATATGGGTGCGACCGATTCAATTTAAGAAACCTTGAAGCTTATTCCCTCAGTCAGCGGTTCCTACACTTTTCTTTCGGACGGCACCAAATTATTTAGAAAGACGCACTTGAGGGGAAAAACGTTGTCTTTGAATAAAACTCACTTTTGTGATCGTTAATGTGTACCTCATGCTTTTTTAAAATTTATAAATATATAGAATAGCGTCAAAAGGGGCCGCAGCCCTAAGTGATATTGAAAACCGAAATCCTTATCTGACTAAACACGATCTTAAGTCGCAATGCAGTACTTGAGCCTAATCAAAACCCCTTCTACAGCAATTTGAAGCAGAGGTATATGTCTAGGGTTTTGTTTTTTATCAATTCTAAAAATAACATCGTGTTTTAAAACAAGGGCTTGTTTTAAATCGAAATTTTTATGTATTTTTTATTGAAATACCCCTTGCATCGCCGCGAAACTACGCCAAAACGTTGCATTCTGGCAGTTGCACACGCAGCCGGAATTATAATTTTAAAAATGAAAGTAATTTTCTTTATTTTGACTTTTACAACTATTGCGAACATTTATCGCCACCCTATATCTCCACCAAAGTCATAAGATTTTACCCGGAATGTTTAGCCGAGATATCAGAGAGACGTTTTGAGTAAGAAAAATCATGAAAATTAGCTCACGAGCCTACTACAAAAGCAATTTGATCCAAGTGCAGCCCTTCGGCAAAACGAGTGGGTTGCGATAATGAAGAATATGCTTATATTGGCGGTAATCTATTGATATGAACGATGAGACATCCTAACCTAGCCTATGTTAATTGTAAAATTCCTCTGATGCAAAGACGCCACAACTAATCTGTTATGACGCCATATTATGGATTTCGAAGTCATGTATTGACATTTTTTCATAAAATGAAGTCATTGTTACGGTTAAGGTCATACAAACTCATTTATTCGATCGCATTTCAATTTTCGCAACGTGGTTTCATCGCAGCAGGGTCGTTCACGTAATGGCTTATCGGTTGCGTCTTACTGAGCCAACCAATGAACTACAGTTTGAGAAGGTGTGCATGAGCCTTTATCGATATTTGTGGCGTTTTGAAAGATTTATTGCAAATAAGAAGCGCTTGGCATGTTTTTACATCCATTTTTCTTCAACCTATTTAATACAAAAAAATCAAATAGTACAGCCATTTTGAACAAAACAGGCAAAAAAAACTCGATTTAAAACAATTGTTTTTGAACTAATCCCTATATATGTTGCTATATAATTCCAATTAGAGTAAAAACTTAAATAAACACTTAATGAAATAAAACAAATTTAATGTATGTTCAATATGTGCATGTATACATATTCTATAATTTGGGATGGTTATGACTAAATATAAAATTTGGGCGCTCCCGTAGTATGTGAATCAAGATAGCGGACACCTTAACATAGTATATGTAACAGGTCAGGGTTAGGCCATTTTATTTTATTATCTTTATTTTAATTCTATTAAGAGTTCGACTAGCCAAGTGACTCCCATAGTATTTGTACCCAAAATTATGACCTAACTCTAACCTGGTACACATACCACGTCCAAGAAATAGAAAAATCACCTCTAACTACTGGCAACCGAAAATTGTTGATAAATTCATAGTAGTCGACTTGCGTATGAACCATAACTTAGTGATTAAAAATGTTAAAAACAATCGTATACTTTGAGCGTATTATTATGAATAAAGGGTGAACATTTATTAAGATCGAAAATATCAAAAATAGGAGTCATGTTTTAAAAACGACCACCTTGATTTTTCTCGCCTGTTTGTTCAAGCGAAATCATGAATGCTGATTCAAAACCGAAAAAAATATCAATTTTTTTTGAAGTATGATAACTGTAAAAGAGATCTAACCTCATTCTAAGAAAAACGTTTCAGTTAACTAACGACATGGTATTGTAATTTTAGCATATCACAATCGTGCCCTGCACCAAAACTTTTCCAAGATACCGTCGGGAACAGATCTTTTTCTAAACGGTATTCACAAAACCATGTTATTTGATTCAATCATAGTACCACTCCAGATAGTATTGAGAAAGTATGTTATATTTAAAAAACACGTTGGAAATACGTTGATGGAATCGTAATCTTCAAACAATAAAGAAATGTTAATATCCAAGACAAGACGGGCAAGATCAAATCTAACAAATATTTTCATTTTTAATTAGCTTCACGCCATAACAAAAAAATATCTACGTCCCCCTTGTGGGGCGCGCCACACCGTTTGAGAACCATTGCTCTAGGGAATTGGATTCGACGTACAATTTAGGTTACACCAACGTTTCCACGTGGTTTACTGTGTAATAATTGTACATCACGTGTGCGCTGCGATGCAAAGTCATCAACCACAATTTGACTTAGTCTAAATTAACTTACAGCAGCTTGTGCTACCTTACAGAAGCTTGTGCTACAACCAGCTTGGCAACATAGACTCGGGCTTCAACAAGCAGAATCCCTCGCCAATATTAAACATACCAAGACTTTGTCTCATGGTATTGAAAATACAGGTTTCAAAGTAATTTGAACGAATGAGAATTTTTCAAATAATATTTTATTCAGTAAAAATCTAAAGACGCTAAATTTATTGACATTCATTATACTAGAGAGGTTCTAGGGTACCTTCCAAAGTCTTTTGTCTGCTCCGCCCCACGATTTGAGGGCACAACCTGAGCTATGCTCTAATATGCAAAATGAGGAATGTTACAATTTGTCCAGGTAGCGTGAATCAATTTAGGATATTGTGATATAAACTTCCACGAGTAATTCACCATTCCACGCATGGGCTACGGGCCAAAATTTTTCATCTTCGACGATCTGGACGAGAGCCTTGCTCAACGACTTAAGCCCCTGAATGGATTCGTCTGTCGAACGCTGTCTAATGCTAAACTACCCATATTCGACAAGACGAAAAGTTCATTGTACCACACAAGTGAGAAATCCTCTATCGAAGTGTCAGATTCCTATATTCCATTTTCGCGCCCTTTTCTTTTTGCCCGATGGCTCTGATACTACATCAAGTGTTCGTACAAAGAACATAAAGATAGGCGAAACGTCGACGATTCCATTAATTAGCCTGAAAAAAAAAATTAAAAAAATATGCGGACATTGTGTTGCATTTTTTGTACATTTCTTAAAATACCAATTTAGCAAATAAGTTATTATATCTATTCAGAGGAGACGAAAATCAATATAAGGACTATTGGTTATCAGTCCAGGATAGGTATGAGAATTTCAGTCGCGTGGACTTGGTAGAGGAAGCCATACCCTATCTACCGTTAGATGAAGTATTCTGCGAACGCGTGTAGTCTAGCACCTCTACCGCCCGCGCCACGCAGTGTATTAAGCAAAACGAGCATCCATGTGATAATATTATATGCACCAATTAATATAACTCACCATGAATGTAATATTTAGAGATTATACTAACCATTTAGTGCTTTGACTTCTTTTGAAATTTATAGTCTTCTTGTAGTTAGTAACTATCTCGAAGAATATCGATAAGTTTGCAATATTTTATATACCGGTATTAAATCTGAAACAATAAATAAGATAAATTGCTGAATTTCCGCAATCATTACCAACACAGATGGTATACCCAATTTATTCCAGTTGATACTGTAGTCGTAGGGTGTAGACCACCAAATGGAAAAGCAACTTGGAGTGAACTTTGCGCATTCGGGGCGTCGCGTCGTGACGAATCTCACACCAACTGATCTCGCGCGTCTTGGTGGTTGATTACAGACGGAAAATGAAGTCAAGAGCAAGGGCGTTTACCAAATTGAGACCAAATATCTATTGATACTAGCTACAATTACTTGCGGAAATTATGTGCGCGTTTAGGAATTGACATCAATAAAATTTGATGAAAATCCATAGCCGACAGAAACTATACACAAGCAATGATTAAAACGGTACTTCAGCGAAAAAAACTTTTTAGCAAATTACGTAAAGCATTAAATCTAGGATTTACGACAAATCAAATTTTACGCTAAAGATTTCCTCAAAAATTATGGTTACCACAGGTTCTAAGTACCACTAGAAACGATACTTAACGTTAAGCATAGTAGTTTGTAATATCAATCGAATTACAAACTAAGTAGTAAGTATTAAAGTAATCCAGACGGTTATTCAATCCACACGGGCTCGGCGTTGATTATTCCGATAATTACCCAAAGTAGTTTCTAGGAAGTTCGGTCCGACCAATAAACGCAAAATCGACGCATCGATTTCCCATGTGTGAAGCCATCAAAAATATATGATCCAAACTTCATAGAGCACTAAGGGGACGTGGAGTCGATATCTACTGCTAAAACAATAGAATCCATAGCCATCCTGAGTTATCTACCATTTCCCCATCATAGAATAATTGAAAAAGAGAGCGATAATCAAATATAAAAACAGGAAAGCCAAAACGAAGTACAGTGACAAGGGTATGTAATACCGCAGTCTTCTCGATTTCGACTGACTACCAGATAGTGGCGAACGCGGAACTGCCACAAGTTGCGGAATTTTAATTTTTGATAATGTAATCATACACAAAAAAACGAATCCTATTGATCCCACGGAAATTTTTGAAATAAATAGAAGTTATAGCCTTCTGGCGACAAAAACAATCTTTAACGACTGAAAATGTCAATGTAAACGGTCCAATAGTTAAAGAGAAAAGCTATTTTTTTACAGAAAGAAAAAAAATATACTAATAACAACAAAACAAAAAACGAATAGTTAGGCAGATATAAATTTGTCAATCTCAGCTCTTATAAATATCCTACATGTTAACATTGAAATTCTAGGTTATGTATTGGTTTTGAAGATGTTCTCACGTATATTTGCGCTGGCGTATTTTTCCAAATGAGATGATTACCCTCGTGTTTACCCAATACTCAATAGGGAGAGTAAGTATCTTTGTGCTAAGACACTCGATTTATTATCATTTTATTTCCAGTCATTTCGACTTGAAAATATATGGCACCAAAATTCAAAAGCAGTCATCATAACTACGGCAACTGATGGATATAATTTTTTTTTGGAATTATAGAATTTGTATCATTCAATCAAAATTCTTTATATATAATAGCTCTGGTACCAGACCACATTACTCGGGATAAACAATCAGTTTGACGGAACAGTGTAAATGTCCATTTCGTACCTACAAACGCATACTTTGATGTAGAATCATTTATTCGATGTAAAAAAAAAACAATCTTTTCAATTTTGAAGTGCGGTAAACATGACAAACTAAATAAAGGTGTATAGACGGTACTATGAATAGTTCAACAATTACGAAAAAAGATAGAATAAATGATTTGTTGGATAACAAAACGTACTACTGAAGATGAATCGATGTAACGCTAAATGTGTAATGTAGTGGTAAAAAATACATCTTGCAGTTCTGGGATTACAGCAATGCAACATAATTTGGAAAAAGTCAATGTGTTTATCACTCGAGTTGGTGACCTTTTTATTCAACTTATTTCAAAATACCGCTAGGAACTGTTGCTGCCCACTTCATTCCCAGGTAATAAGAATAATTGGCATATTCACGCATTGCATCTGACTCGGAAAAATATTCTGTTGACTGTATCCATCTCTGAAGTGCAATCAAAGTAATGGATTTGACGTGGTGTGTTTGCATTGATAACTGGTTTACTCATTCACTTGTATATGCTGAATTAGCGATACCGAGATCGAAGCCAACGGACTCAGTTGTCGAATACGTTCCGTTGGTTTTGTTCGCATTGTGTTTGATGGAATCGTCATTGTTGTTGTCTGCCCTTGCTTCAGTAATTTCACTCACTTCAACATCATTTGTTTGTGTATTCTTTGCGCCTGGCTCGTCCGATTTTTCTCCATCCTCGTTTGCATATGATGGTTTGTAAATTGCAAACGTAATAATTTGAAGGATCAAGCAAATAAACTGAAAAAATAAACAATTGGTTTAGAAATTATCGTGCAATTTCTTTCACGCAAATTTGCTCTGTTTTTATGCTCTGCATAGTGAAATCTGCATATTCATTTTTTAGTAAGTCCTCCTTTTAGATACAATTTAATTGTTTTTTGAAGCATTTTCTACTCTCATAGATTTTAAATACGTTACTAAATTTTTTTTTTTACAATATATAATACGGCGTATACATATAGATGTTAAATACCAATAGGTATGTTACTATGTTTTATATATATATATACAAATATATATATTACGTCAACTCTATTCCTAACTCCCACTATTAAATGTTTATAAAATCTAAGTATACACAGTGATTCATCAATGACAAAGTAAATGGATGTCAATAGAAAATGCGAATGAACACTGATAGTTGAACACATTGTTTTAGACAACTAAAACCCATGCTGATCCAATTACATGTGAATCCAACATCAAAATATAAATTAGTCATTTATCTAATTGGTCCCAATGGCGTAGATATATGGAATTGGAAAATGAGGTAAAGTGCTGTATAGTAGATTCAGGGATGCGTAGTTAAAATTTCTCACCATTTGAACTGCTAGAAGTAAGGTCATATATAAAGATGCTTTGTTAGTATCATAAGCTCTGCAAGCGCCTACATCACCGCACTCTGTACCCCATGAAATACAAGCCAAATCCAAAACCTTCCCTGTAAGAATTCGACCAGGTATAGTGCCAAGTAAAGTGAAAACGAGTCTCTGAAATAAAGCAGAAAAAGCAAGAATATTACCGCAAATTTAAACCATAAAATATTGGGAAAAAAATAGTTGACGCTTTAAGTTTAAACTAGCTAATTTCAAATATATATGAATATTCGTATATGAAATCAAAGATATCAATAATTGATTTTCTCCGCAACTAATGGACTAATCGATTTCAATTTTAAAGAAGTCACCAGAACGCTATTAATCTTTTTTTGGTTTTTAAATCTTTGGGTTCTCTATCCGTCAGTGTGTTCAACAAACTTGGTGCTGTCATACCTTGCCGGTACGATGTTCGTCTATCTCTATCGCATATCCAATACTCGCCTATCCATGACTCTTACATTCAACAACATAGAAAATGACTTATATACATTTCTTACCTGTAAACTGATTGCTGTGGTTCTAAGGTTAAATGGAATGCATCTGATTGTAGCTTGAAGATTTGGAGTTGTTTTAGTTAAAGTAGTAAGAAACGCAATGAGAACGATTCCAATGAATGGATATAACAATGCACAGTTGTTTTCAGAGCATTCATCTGCTGTTGCTCCAAAATAAAGTATCCCAAGGCCAGACCCAACTGTTTCGTTACCGCTGACTTTAGATGACACGCAGGAACAGTCATGGTAGTGCTGTTAGAATATTGCTTTCGTTACTGACGATAGAATATAACTCGGGGGAATGGTAGTACAATCGTGAAAATAATGATTTGAAGTTTTGAGAGTTCCTACTCTATCAAATTCTAACAATCCATTTTGCAAACCAAAATTCAAAACAGAGAAAATATAGAAACAAATCGAGCAATGGAAATAACAAATAACAGTATGTAATAATATATATAACAAACATAAAATTATGGATTTTATGAATTTGCAAAGAAGCGTAGACTTCAACAGTACTCAATTAGTTTATATACGGTATTTGAACTGAATATGGATTGAATACGGAATGTGAACTGAATAGGCACAAACATTCACCAAATTATATTAACTTGCTACCTAACTTGCCGTCATTCAGCCAAAAATAAATTTAGTTCGGACTTTTGTGGCTGAGAGATGAAAACAAATGAAAAAATTTCAAATTTACACACAAATTGTGTGTTATATTTGATGACATCGTGTGTGATGAGTTTTAAGACGCTATGTGATTATTATTAAATTTATCTAGTCCACAGATTCCTAATGTTCCATAAATTCCTAAGATTCTTAAATAAACATTTACTATCATGTACATATATTGTAAACAATGCCCCTTCAAATGAATTCAAATAAATTGTGAAACTGATTAAAATATTCTGAAAAGGTAAAACAATTTTACTATTCACAAACACACTGATTTAGCCTTATTTCAAATAGTTACCGATTCATTGACTTGCAATCTGCATCCAGCAAAACATGACGAAAAATAACTTATTCCGTCATCACCGCACACTGGCTTGAAATAATCTGTGCTACAGTGACAATTATTTGAGCAACCAGATGTATCCGCGGAATTTTTTATATCTTCGAGTGTAGGCCCAGAAAATTCTGAAAAGTGATACATAAATTTGGATTCCAAATTAAAACTAAATTTTTTTACCAATGTCTTCTGAGAAATCGTTTGATTTTCGTGTATTATATACGGACCTTTTCGTTGATTCTTACCTAATGTTTGGGTAATGTTTCCAGAGAGACCATAAGTTACTTTTTGATATGAGCGTGTATATATTTGTGTCAGCACTGGTTGCTAAATTACATGAGTAAAACGTCAAGCGTCCCCACTAGAACCATCCAACTATATTGAGTGGTCGATATAAATTTAGAAAAGATTTACCTTGTCCTTGACAACGCAACAGAAATCCAAAAACTGCAACTAAACATATGGCTGTGCAAAGTATCATAAATTTTAATATTTCTCCAACGGTCATCTTGAATTTTGTAATCACATATCCTCCGAATAGTTGTCCTCCTGCTGCAGCCACAATTGCTGCAGTTCCTTTAAATTTATACGATAATTACAAAATAAAACGATAGAAAAATTAAACAGTCTAGACCAGTGGTTCTTAAACTGGGGGGCGCGCCCCCCTAGGGGGGCGCGAGATGCTCTCAGGGGGGGCGCGAGAGGTCACAAGATGGAATCGGAAATTTACATGTAACGGTCTCCGCGTTCGTTAAAAATACCGGCTTTTTCGTGTTATAATAAATTTTTCTGTCTCGTAATAACTACAATAATTCAAGATGTCTCTCTATTTTAAGTCATTTGTGTTCAAGGTAACTCGCGGTTGCGGCGACTTACGACAAAATAAACTCATTACCTATCTAAAATACCACGCCAATCCGCGGACATAATAAAGTGTGATCAACTGCCCGATTATATTTAGTTTTTATATATATATATTGCACTCATGCGAATTCGTTGTCGTCATTAGAAAGATCTGGTATAATATTCCAGAAAGTATATTTAATTTAGTACAATTAAAATACATGTAAAGTATATATATTAGTAGATGAAAAATACATATTCATCGAAACGAAACCCCCGCTGTACGGCTTTTGAGTCAGTCCTCGAGATTACGCCAGTCGTTAAAAGAGCCGACTTTTTCAACGGATATGTAATGGTTTTTCTGTTGAATAAAATATTCAATCCATGATTGATATACTTATTTAAAATGGTTGCTTTATTTGTTTTGATTTTTATTCTTGCCAATTTCACCAATATGAGCTGTCCTTGCAACTCTTACTCCGCTCTATCGCAATGCCGTCACTCGATTAATTTCAAGATATCACAGTTACAGATATTCCAGAGTCTGCGATCCCACGGAGAAAAATTTATATCAAGTCTGTGGTTTTAGAAAACTACTGGTGTGCCGCACGCACAAGGAATTTATGAGATTTTCAATGTCCAAGAAAGTGTTTTTAATCTGTCGCGGTCCACCCCAAAACAAAACTCATGGCGTTTTCCGTTTTATTTTTAGTATTTTATTAGGCCACTTTTACAATAAAGAAATTTTAAGTTACGGATTCACTTTTTTATTTTATCGTTAGCATCTCGTCGTTGATGATTATAATAAAAACTCGTTTTAATAATGCACTCGTTTTCCTCAGAGGTGTCATGGTTCCATTCGAGAACAAAAAAAGTAATTATAATCGTCTTCGCGGCTCAAGAATATGTCGAGGGAAATTTCGGATTTAGGAAGAATAAACACCGAAATCAAGATTTTTAGGGCTTAAATAACACGCCACGCTGACGTAAACAATGGAGATCTGAACAAAATGCAATCGCAAACGCCTTAGCGACAACGATTGATTGAAATTTTACGTGTCTTATGTAAACGTTTAAGCAGAAAATATATATTAGCATAGGTTTATTGCTTGTTTAGTTTTACTTAATAATTAGATTGACTTTGCCAAGCATTGAAAACTAGGCGGAAAAACGAGAATGTATGATGACCAACCACTATTTGGCTTTATACATACGACAGTGAATGGCGAAGATGTACTCCGAAGCGTTTTATGCCTAAACAATCTGAGCAATGACGCTATGAGACCAACACTCAGTTATAGCGCCATCTTAATATATAACAACTTGTCCATCACAAAAGCATTTTTTCAAAGCAAAATGAGGGGGGCGCGAAGTGTGTAAAATTTTTCAAAGGGGGGCGCGGCTCAAAAAGTTTAAGAACCACTGCTAGACTCTAAAAATAAAAATATTTTTCAAGCACGTTTCAAGCACAATAACTTTTTAGTGCATCACAATTATTGTCAACCAAGATATAGTTGCCAAAAATGGTAAGGACCAAATTGCATAAACTGTAATAAGGTTTTGCATGTATTCATGTTTAGTACTTTTTTATTCTATATGTAGGTAGGGTTTTGTTTTTTATCAATTCTAAAAAAACATCGTGTTTTAAAACAAGGGCTTGTTTAAATCAAATTTTTTCTGTATTTTTTGTATTTTTTATTGAAATAACACCTTGCATCGCCGCGAAACTACCCCAAAACGTTGCATTCGGGCAGCTGTACACGCAGCCGGAATTATCATTTCGAAAATGTGAGTAAAAATTCCTATTTTGAGTTTTACTTCTATTGCGTACATTTATCGCGACTTTCGTATCTCCACAAAAGTCATAAGAATTTAACCGGAATGTTTATCCGAGATATCAAAGAGACGTATTGAGTAGGAGAAATCATGAAAGTTACCTACTGCGATAATGAAGAATATGCTTACATCGACGGCGGATGAGACACGCCAGCCTGGCCTATGTTAATTGTAAGAGTCCTCTAATGCAAAGACGCCTCAACTAATTATGATTATGACGCCATGATGTGGAGTTCATGTATTGACGTTTTTCCCATAAAATGAAGGCATCATTACGGTTAATACTGTTCTGTTCAGTTAATTTATGCTTAGCAAGCTTTGTTTTTAAGGTTGAAGTGGTAGAGTTTTTCAAGATTATACAAACTCATTTATTCGATCGCATTTCAATTTTCGCAAGGTGGTTTCGTCGCAGGGTCGTTTACGTCTTACTGCGCCAACCACTGAACTACAACCTGAGAAGATGTGCATGAGCCTTTATCGTTATTTGTGGCGTTTTGAAGAATTTATTGCAAATAAGAAGCGCTTGGCAAGTTTTTACATCCATTTTTCTTCAATCTATTCAATACAAAAATTCAAATAGTACAGCCAATTTGAACAAAACAGGCAAAAAAAACTCGATTTAAAACAATTGTTTTAAAACATTCTTTTTGAACAAATCCCTATATGTAGGCTATGTTAAATATATTCAGTTTCATATGTGGTATTGGGTATACTAGTATATGCAATTAATAAGTAGTTTATGCATTGTATAAGTAATTAAATATATAAATAATTATGTCAACGAATGCAACTTTACCAAATATCAGTGCCGCATTTGATATGCTGATGCCGAATACAGCTGCAATATATTTCGCACCAAACGTGTTAAACCCGTAAACAAATGCATAGTTTATACAACTACTTAGTGTGAGAGAAACATACGGAATATTTGTCATTAACAGCCACAATACTTTAGGTGCATCCTTCCAGCTGAAAATATATAACACAGTTATAATATGCAATATATGTATGGTATAATACTATACTATGTAGGTCGTAGGCTATAGCGTAATACTATACATACTATAGAATATATCTGCATGCAAAGTACCTTTTACCAAAAGTTTCGTTATTGGCTGCATTAATTGATGATTTATTGCGATGAACTTCCTTGTTTCTATTTTCCCGGAAACGCGATGTTCCCGGTAAATTTCGTGGAAACATAATAATAAGAATTGAGATTACAATACAAATTATTCCAACAACAAGAAATCCAATCCACCATGCTCCGATCCACAAAGAACTAGAACTGGTTATGTCGACACTGTAAACAATATACAGACTTCAATGCATATAAATAAATAACGATGTAAAAAAGGAAAAGACGAAAAAGTTATGTTGTGAAAAATGCGAACAAAAAGGAAAAGCAACTAGAGAAGGAAAACAATACATACTTTTCTCCTATATTGGTGTACACGTTGACTAATGCACTTCCCAGCAAATACCCGACAGCAGGACCGAAAGCTCCCATTGAGTAATATATACCTGTTGAAAATTTGGATAAATGAAAAAAAATGTATAAATGGAAATGTTTTAAACTCCATAATTATTCACTTGCCTCCATATAATCCAGAATTTTTTTGTTTAACATTTTCATCTAGATAGGTTATTGCAACAGTAAACAGTGGTGTTGAACCGAGACCGATCAATCCATTGGCAAAAATAAACAAATACCTAGTTTGAGAAATAGAAAGAAATGTTAATCTAGCTATGATATTTTACACTTAGCAAATCATTGTGTCGTTGGTGATCAATAAATTGAGCGGTTTCAAGTGTTTTCGTGTACGACCCTCGGTGCCAAAATAAGTATCAACCTTCTGACGTTGCGCCACAAATATTTAAGTCAAATATTTCTCACATAATCTAAAAACCGACACTTTTTTGAGAAGTCATGAGAAAATATAAATTAGGCGATAGTGATTCAGCTGGTTATCGATAATAAATATCTAAAAGTCTTTATTAGTAGATAGATGTACTACCATCGCATATAAGAAACATTGTCAAGTGAGTTTTTATTTTAAAAAGGTAAATTTTCAATCGTATCGTATCAAGCAAAACGATCTGAAATATTGGAATCGGACGAACATAGATGAAAACCTGCATGGTGCTCAAGCAAGAAAAGTAAAACCTATTTTAAATGTACTAAATACTGATCAATTACGTTGAACAAAGCCTGCACTCATAATGCTATTGCATTGAAGCTTAGGTTAATGCATTCAGCTAATCACTTTAACACACAATTCTATTTCTGTATAAATACACTTAACATGTTTTAGCCTAGTGCATTTTATAACTGAACTTACATATAATTCCTTATACTTGTTCCTTCACACCTGGGATTTGTCACGTTAACTCCACAAAGACCAGTGTTGTTATCAACAATAGAATACGGTGATGCTGTGAAATGAGGGAGTGCATATAACACACTTCCAATACCTATAACAAAAGTACCCCATCCAAGCCACATAGGCTTGAAGGCTTTGTCTCCTGAAAACGCAGTTACGAGCAACGCAATGCATGTAAATACATCAAAGCTGCTGGCGATTAGTCCACTTTCGGTACTTTGCAATTGAAACCTGGACATTGACAGAAATGTATTAATTGACTTAATTCAAAATATTTCTTCAAATGAAATATTTAGTTTTATCAATATCATCATATAAATTCTGTTGCTGTTGATTTTGTTTGTTTGTTGTAATTTCCATGGAGCTCAGAGCATGAAGCGAAAAAACATAACATTATAGCCCTTGGAACGACATTTTCATTTTCATCACAGTAAGTTTCAAGTGTTGATCTGAACACTACTGGGAAAGGCGTTTTTTTATTCCAATAATAACAACAACAAATCAGCGAGGCGATTTATAGGTTCATTTAGTGATCACTAATTCAAAAAACCTCCAAAAATGAATTGATAAATTAAAGTAAGGAAGTGGAAAAACTAATAAACAACACACCTTTTTTCTATGGTGCTGATTACGGCGTTGAATAGTCCAGCATTGATAAGGTTCGCCAAAAACAGCGGAATGCATAAAAATATCAAAGCACCTTTCGCGTTGTTGATGCATTGCATAGACGAAATTGGATATCTGAAAACACAGCAATTAAAAGATTATAGTTTACAAACAATCTCTTCCAAAGATAAATTAATCTCCTAATCGTTCAATGTTTATAGAAGATATCATGCTCACCAGTTGTATTTGGATTGTTGGTTGAATATGAACAATTATTGGTACTCCCGAAGTATGTGAACCAAGATGGCGGACACCGGAATGTAGTATGTGTACCAGGTTAGGGCTAGACCATAATTGTATTCCAATTTTCCTTATTTTAAATCTATTGCGAGTTCGGGGACTAGCCAAGTGACTCCCGTAGTATTTGTACCTGCAATTATGGCCTAATCTGTTACACATACTACGTTCTGGTGTCCGCCATCTTGGTTCACATACTTCGGGAGTACCCAATTATGTATCAAAATTGAAAAATTTCGGTTCGTGAAATATTATAAGATTTAGGTAACATAGCCTCAGGCTTGCGGGTATCAGCATCTTATATAGCTGCAAGGCAAAGATATTGCAGTAACGGTCAGTTTAGTGAAGATCTGACGCATATGATAAGAATAACTCATTATATGACTCGGAAATTGCGAACTGAACGATCAAATTACATGCTGTTTATCACAACAACAATCCAATGCTTATATGGCAGTTTTTAAAATGTTGCACGCGATCTGGATATTATGAATTGATTCTTCAACGTAAAAAAACCGTTTGTACCTAATCAAAATTAAACTAAATTTGGCTATTGGATGACAAAATGGACGACAGGCTATTGACGTAATTAGCTACTCAAATCATAATAAACGAACAATATGACAAATTTTTAACATAGTTTTGTATGCTTGAAAACCGTAATATTAGGCAAAAGCGTTATATATTTTTTAATTTGAGTATAAGCCGAGGAGACATGCAATGCGTTGGCCCAAAATTGTTGAAGCTAATTATGATCAGTTTGATAAGATCTGTGTAACTATTGGTATCGATTTGGCAATTTGAATCATTTTTTTTTTAATAGAAGTACATTTTATTCTTGCGTAATAACCACTATTGGGGTTTTGATGTTTCCCGCCGCAATTAAAATTTAAACTAATTATATACTTAAATTTGTGCATGAGAAAAGTATTTGTTGTTGATACTGCCAAACACTTCACGGTATAATATATTATGTGTACCTGTGTACGTTTAAACATGAAAGTATGCGTTTTAGGAATACCAGACAACTCGCAAAAACCTAGGAAAGGCTCTCTGTTACTTGAATAAATCTTAGTTGGAAGCAATTCAATTATAAATATAAACAAAAATAACTTTCTCCTTAAGTAGTTGCCAAAACCTACCTTTTTGTTGTTTTCGAACAACATATAATCTGACATCCATACATTACATCTTTATCCATTGAAAGTTCATTAAAACTATTGTTGTTTTCTTCTGTTTCCACCTTTCTCTCCCTTTCTGGTAATTCATTTTGATTATGTTTCGACAAATCCATTTAGTATTTTATTTTTTTGAAATTTGATTATGTCATGCAATTAACACTGGAATAAACGTAGTATTAGTAAGTTCTGGATTTTAAATTCAAAAATCGCAAAGATCGTTATAAAAATCATAAAACAAAATTTGACCACTAGACTCAAACCCCGGCATGCTATATTATCATTTTGTAATGCTCGTTTAAATTTAACAATTCAATTTACATGTAAGCTTCGGGAAATGCCCTGTGGGCTTAAATAATGATTTCGATTGCGTTAGCATATCTATTTTAATTTCATCGTTGGGTAACAATTTCCGAAGTGTATACAACAGCAACTCTCAATATGAAAAAGTTTGTCTTAGCATTATTGAATATGCTTTATGAAGTGCGCCCGTCTCGCCTGATACAGGATAAATGTGTGACACCGTTATATAAAACAAACTGGCATTATACTAACTGCTTCGCAAGCAACTTGTGTTTTCTTCTGTACAAATAACTTTTATTATCTTTATATCTTTCATAGTACTTTCTGTATACAAGTTGCAGATATGATTTATACAAATATTTTTCCTCGAGATCCTTCTGAAGATCTTCTATAATTTTGCGGGAAGTACAAATTACAGAATTAGTTAATTAACATGAAGTATCAGAAATTAGCAGCAAATTCTTTTTGAAGTAATTTATCCGATAAAAAATGACCGCTACATTAGCGTTTAGCCCTAAGTGCGCGTTAGAAACATTGTCGAATAATTCATTTTGTTTCTTTTACAAAACTGGAATTCTCATAATATATTGTTTTTGAAAAAGTTGTTATCCACAAAATATTATACGTTCATTTAACGCCATCATGAAGCTAAAAAGAAATTATCAGGTATTTCTCAATACCGGCATCAAAACTGAACCCCCAACGCAGACAGATTAACAGAGTGATAATCAAATATATGGTCCGAAACTGAGCCGAATTCGTTCGTGATGAACATAGTGGTCTAATAACTTAGTTATAAATAATACTAACGCTTTATAAGAGAAGAATATTCTGTTGATATGATCAAGGTCCATTTTATAGTAGAATCATACTTCTGTTGCATATCCAATGACAAATACTACGTATTCGCATATCCGCGTTTTGCAGTATTGTCACAGAGAATTATGACGGAACTAATGGATTATATTACTTGAAAAGATAGATACTAAATAACTTGAGGAATTTTTCTATGATGTAATAAAGAACTAAATAATGGGATAAACACCAAGCTCCCTCGCTAAAACTCGATTAATCTTCCTAAAAAAGAGATAAGCGTAACGAATTCAATACAAAGCTTATGAAATCAGCCGCGATAATAATTGAGCATGTCCTATGTTAGGGTATTCCATGCAAATGCAGTCAGAAGTCAGGCTAAACATTGAGTGCATACTTTTCACCAATATGGTAAAGAAAACATCCGCCTATAATGCAGGAAAGGTAACATGGCATGTACAATATCACTAACAGCACGACCTATGCTACATAACATTTCGTCATTCCCTCTTTATAGTAGTAGGCCTATAACGTCTTTTCTAACGACTTGCGAACAAATTCGATACGAGTTATTTGTCACAGTGTATATTTATTTAGAGGCTGTACCAAAAGAATGAAATTAATGCATCCTGAATTACAATTTTTAAAAAAGAATGCTATCAGTCACCGTATCATTTCACTGTATATATGTGTGTGGGCGTATGTTGACAGCTTTAAACAGGCATTTGTAAACTACTGAAAATCAGCTTTTATTTAAATGTTAAAAATCTCATTTCCCAATGAAACACATACATCATTTCATATTTTATAAGCTGTATTTATAAGTCATAATGTTGCTTCGATATGGACCATATAGAAAACTTATTTTGGGCTATTTAATGTACGCATGTAGTGCATACACATAAGTAGATCGACGAATATAAGTACGATTCAATAAAACCTGAAATATTTATAGACATGTAAAATTGAAGTTCATTCTCATTCTCGTTACATTTACCTCTTTTTCTCTCCTCCACTTTTCTTCGTCCCATTTTATGATATTATCTAAAAGACTTGTTGAATTCAAAATACTTGCATTTTTGATCACAATATGCTGGTGAGATTCATATGCTGATACCCTTCAAACTTTCTACGGACAATCTATAAAAGAGCAAAGCAAAAACTGAAAACTCATTTCATGCAAAATCAAAAATATCTATATATCACCATTTGAATCATCCAATGAAAACCAAATAAGGATACCTGTTACCTATGTATATGTACCTACAGCGTTGACCATTTGATATGAGGCATGGCATCATGATTTGTCCCTATGAATGTATGATCATATACATCTTTAATAAAATGAATTCCAACTGTTTCGAATACTTAGCCGCAAGGCAATAAATGCCACCCGTGCGCCCGTGGGAACATTTTGTCAATTATGTTGAAGCTCCAAACACAATCCGAAAAAATTGCTGCATTGAATTTACCTCTTGTATTGAGCGCTTCAAGATATAAAAAAGACTCCTATAATTAGGTAATTATTTTTTTGTCTGTGGCGGCTGAAGAGAAAGTCCAAAAACGATAAGGAGCACAACACATGTTGTTCACCATAGGTAACCAAGGTAACTGTAACTGTAGGTAACTGTGAGATTGAGAAACACACAAGAGGCACATAAATGTAACAAATGAAGCAATGCTCAAATATATGGACACGGACGTCAACATAAAGTAGTATGGGTATACAGTCCAAAATAGGCACGTGCTCAGACTTAGAGCACCAAGGGTAAGGGGACAGCATAGAAATTTCTATGGACGAATTTTCAATAACGCCCCAGTGTTAAATCACGAGATGATTCGAATTGGCAAACGTTTCAAATTTTGATATAAGGTCGGTGAAAATGAATTTTTGATTCTTTTTATTTCTCAAGTACCATCTTTGAATTTTTCTATAAATGTTTATAGACATGAGAGCTATTTCAAAAAAATATCTTTTAAGTTAATCATAATTTGGCCTTCATTCACTAATGAATACCGGAATTGCTTACTCAATTTCAGAGTGTGGACCTGTGTGTCATGCTTTTGTTGCAAGCCAATGGAATCAATTTGTTCGAGCAGTTTTCGTATTTCGCTGCTTTTTCACGATCGCTGTCATTGAATAAACATTCAAAATTTTGATTCACAATCATATCGAAAACTTATAACTTATTTGAATATGTTTATCTGGGATTCTTTGTAGAGCTATAGTTATCTCCGTATGACAAAGTACGATTATTTTAAATTTCAATGATAGCGTTTTTTATTTTAGTTCTGTAAGCGGACTTTTGTTTCAAATACCCAGTAGAATTTTGCGAGCAATTATTAACATGGAAATTCAAATTTTAAAATCGTTCCTAATCCTAACTCTAAATATTTACTGATTTGTTATTTTAGGACGTGATAAAGGTATATTTAATGAAATTTCACATTTTTGCATTATTTTCGAAGGTCTTGTACAAAAGATCCTAATCTAATATGCTAAAGCAGTGCTATTTAATCTTTTACTACGTGTTGTATCTTTTTCAATTTTTACTTTTTTCGTATATACCTCGCAGATAACAAAGATATCCGCAGATTTTTCGATACTCCCGAAGCATTGGAACCAAGATGACGGACACCGAAAATAGTATGTGTACCGGTTAGGATTAGGCCATAATTTCAGGTACAAATACTACGGGAGTCAATTGGCTAGTCCTCGAACTCGTAAAAGAACTGAATTATGGAATATTGGAATAAAATTATGGCCTAACCCTAACATGGTACACATACTACGTTCTGGTGTCCCCCATCTTGGTTCACGTACTTCGGGTGTATCTGTGTATCTCCCCGCCAATAAGTTTTTGCGCGTTCAAGATAGTTATTTTTATACCCGGGATCTGACCTAGTATACACTTGGGTATATATGCCTAGTGTAACTGGTTGAATATCACTGCTCTAAAATACCTTTCCGAATACCAAAATAATTAAAATTTGTGAAATCTGCGACAAATTGTTTGTTTTTGTATATTGAGTATACGCTTATCTTAGAACAGAAAAATTGTATTTCTTCGTTTCTTTTTCCGCCAGTTTAATTAATTTTATGCCAAAGCCCGTTAAACCAGACCATTTTCATTCCGTATAATCGCGCCATGGATTTAACTTCTGCCCAATAAAGCCGTAATTTGGCGTTAAAAAGGTAGCAATATTCATTCTGAAAAACCCATTATCTGGAGCAATGACCAGTAAATATGATGTAATGTCTATAGCGGGTCAGTCTCTATCGTTTTCCATTTTTGCTTTTGTAACACTAAATATTTTTCAGAAATTGTAACTTTACGTCAATATTACATGGCCCGGCAATCTAGGTGGCAAACTGTTTGGTCCCTGGTCCTAAACCCTTGCCCATCCCTGCCTAACTAGATAATTTCTAATTTGTTAGTTTGAAACTTGGCGGGCGCAGGTGTTTTTAGTGGCGAGGGCTTTGTATGAAAGAACCCAATCTAAAACACTGAAACAGTGCTATCCTACTTTTTACTACGTGTTACATCTGTTTCAATTTTTATTTTCTTCGTATATATATACCTCGCAAATACCAAAGGTTATTTTAAAATTTAAAGTAGAAAAATAGTTGTTTGGTGAAGTCATGATAGGAGTTACCCTAGTCACAAAATAGTTTTAAACTTGCGTAAACAACAACAGAAAATTGCATATTTCATCCCAAAAATGGTTTTTGTTCATTTATTATATGTTCCCAACTTGAATTTTTTTTTGAATCTTGATATATTTTACACTTGAACACAAGATTCATGCTCTAGAAAATTAGTCGAGAAAGTCAGTTTCAAACTTGACGTAAACAGCGCCCGAAATCGTCTATATCAGTGGTGCACAACTCAAATGAGGATATGTGCCAAATTTTTCAAAATAATCTTGTCGCGTGCCACGCACAATTTTTGGTATTGTAAACAAACTCCCGTATAACATATATCAAACAAACTTCAATAATAATACATAATAACGAATATCTAGTTATTGAAACGATTGGATCCCGTGTAAAACCGCTGATTTGAAGACGTTTTTGTTGGACCAAATTTGAAATGTTGAGCTTCAAGGGAGAAATAGCGATTCGCATCACTGAATCTATATGCTCATCTAGTAAACGGGTCCGAAGCTGGAATTTGTTTATTTTCATGATTGAGAATGCCTGTTAACAACTGTACGTGCTTGCAAATTAACAAATCCAGACTTTTGAATTTCTCAACAAAACTGGATAATTCTCTTCTTCGAGGCGAGAGTAGAACTCAAGTACTGTTGAAAAACATCCTGCAAAACTTGGTTTTACCTCAAATCCAGAAGTCTCCAGTTGAGCGTCAGCGCCTTCAATATATTCAACATCCACACTCAATGGTCTTTGAAATAAATTCATTTGCCCCTTCCGGTCATTATAATCTTGAAAGCGTTTTGAAAAGAATTGACGACGGAAACTCCATATTATAGCACACTTCTCAAAGTCAGTAACCAAGCTTTTTTCCTGTAAAAATATTTCAATTTCTTCAAAAAGGCTAAGAAAGTGCTGCAAAAGTTTCCATCGACTTAACCAGCAAACTTGAGAGTGATGCACTAAGTCCTTGTATTGTGTATTCATCTCCAACAAGAATGCTCGAAATTGGCGATGCTTCAATCTATTCGACAGAATTTCATTCACACATTTTACAATAACGTCCATAACATGAGTCATCTTTATACATTGATCACAAAGAGACTCTTGATGAATGAAGCAGTGAAAAGTAATAATGTCCTGAGTAAAATCAGATTCTTGCAAGTACTTTTTCAATAGCGTCACCGCACCGTGAAACGCATTTAACACAGCTTCTTTTATATCTATTTTATATCCACGTGTTGTGTCATAAGTCCAACAAGATCTTCGTAAGCAGATAGGTCTTTTGCTACAGCGCGGACTGATAATTGCTCAGTATCACTCATATCACAGTGAAAAATATTCGAAGGTCTACTTTCGATTGCAGTTGCTCATCTGATTGTCGTATCAGGTATTTTATGTATTTATTGTATTTTTTCTTATGTTTATTTGTTTGTGTTGTTTTTATATGGACCAAAGCGGTCTGGAGTAATAAACGAATTGAACTGAATTAAGATTTTCGCCAATTTCTTCAATTCTTCTAGGAATGGTAGTCTTCGAAAGGCTGATTCTCGAGCAAACTCGCCATCTGTGAATGGTCTGGAAGAGCTTTTTCTGTTGGAATGGCCTGTAACTTTTTCTGGTAAAACATAAGATGCAGCGATGGCGTTTCCATTTTCCCCGGTGGGCTTTTAAAATACGTCCTGCTGCACTCCCAGAGAATTTTTTAGTTTCAACATCAAACTTT